TCCAATTCATTTTGTTGTTTCTTTAAGTACTTTGTGAAAGGTTTCCACTCTTCTTTAAAGTCACACTCATCTTTGTCATGTAGTTTGTGTGTCAGTTTTGCCAGTTCTGTGTAATCCATCAGTTTCTCTTGCCACAGTTCTTTAGTTGGGATTTCCTCGTTCTTCCATCCTTGTGCTATTAAGACTCTTGCCACTGTTGTTGCATACATGAAGATGTTTTTGAATTTCTTTGGCAGCTCTTTCCCTATTAATCCCTAACAAAAATGCTTCAGGTTTTTTTTTACAAATGTTAATTGGAACATTTTCTTCAATTCATTGTATATCATTTCCCAATTTTTAAAAATCTTACTACAATCCCACCACATATGGTAAAAAGTCCCTTCTTTTTCCTTACATTTCCAGCATATATTTGAAGCAGTTTTGTACATTCTTCTTATCTGCACTGGTGTTATGTACCATCTATACATCATTTTCATATAATTTTCTTTCAGCAAAGAACAGTCTGTAAATTTTAAATCAATTTTCCACAACCTTTCCAGTCATCCAACATAATATTATGACCTATATCTTGTGCCCATTTAATCACAACTGATTTCACCTCTTCATCTTTTGTTTCCCATTCTAGCAGTATGTTGTATGCACCTTTCAACAGCTTCACTTTCCCTTCTACAACTTCCTTTTGAAATCTGGATTTTGTATAACTAAATCCTTTCTTGTCTTCTTTGTATATTTCATGTAATTGTCGATAGTGTAACCAACTCTGAAAATGGTCTTTTATTTCATCATATTCTCTTAATTTCCATTTTCCTTCTTGATCCTTTAGCAAATCAGCATATGTAAGCCACTTTCCTTTCTTTCCAAGTGGTTTGAGCAGTAAAGCTTCATGTGGTGAAAGCCACCAAGGGGTCTTCTTTTCTAACAGAGGCACTTTTAATTTCTAACCCATAATGGAACTGTTTCAGTTAAGAACATAGGAAGCTGCCTTATAGTGAGTCAGACCTTAGGTCCATCAAGCTCCATATTGTCTACACTGACAGGCAGCAGCAGCCTTTCAGGGTTTCAGGCAGAGGTTTTTCCCTTCCCTCCCTGGAGAGGCCAGGGATTGAACCAGTGATCTTTTACATACAAGCCACATGCTCTGCCACTGAGCCACAACCCTTTCCCTTAAGGGAACTGATGCTTTTATCCTGCTGTTTATTTGCTAATGTTGTATTTTTGAAATCTGTTGTATTTTTGCACACTTTTGTTTTTAGTAGATTTATGTAAGTCACCCTGAAATAATTTTTGCATTGAATGAGAGGCTATGTACGTATATATATATATATATATATATATATATATATATCTACAAAAATGACGAGTGAGACCTCGTCGAAACGTCGCCTAGACACCCCAACTTTTACACGGGAAGACACCCGAGGACACCAAAACCTGCATATATATATATATATAAATATATAATAATATTTTATTAGAGTTTTCCAGAAAATTAACATCAACAAAAATCAACAAAAAACACAAAAAACAAACAACAAACATCAAAAATCCAAACAGAAAAACAGAAAAAAGAAAAATACAAAGAAAAAAATTAGCATAAAAAAGAACACTCTTTCATATTATAACTTTCAAAACCTTATTCTCTTTGCTTCCACCCGCCTTCCCTTCTTGTATTCTACTTTAAAAATTAGTTCATCAAGATCGTTCATTATTCATTTTAAACCTTTATCCCTCCCTTTATAATCTTATTTATCTTAATCGCTAGAACCCCTTCATTTCATTTTCAGAGCCTTCAACATTCATAAATTTTACAGTATTTTTGTAGATAAACTTTAAACTATATAAAATAAGTAAATCATGATCTGTATTCTGGTGCACATTTAGCTCTACAGCAATTAAAACCTGGAAAATCTATTATTGTGAGCATTTCAAACTGAAGTTTACTGAATGACAACCATACTGGGTGCACCAAACACACTCTGCAAATTAATAGGCTTGTCCTAAAATCACAAAGTAGTCCAGCCTAGGGCTAACACACAAACGTTTATGCTGGAGGAGCTGCTGTAGCAACTGCACGTTGCATTTAGAGATTGTGCTTTGACCTTTGGGGCATGTTGACTTTGTTAATATACCACGTGGAGTGGTCAAGGACATGCCTTTTACACACTGTTGCAGAAATAGCTTAACTTTGTTCCTGGCTCTGCTTCATCTTCCTCAATGGCAACTTTTCAGGCTGCTGTACACATCCCTACCACAAAGGAAGAGAAGGCTAGCACTTTATCATGTGCCACAAGTCTGGAGTAGATTAGAATCAACTTACTTGGACAATGTTTTTTGGAAAAAATTGGATTCAGGTACCGGAGGAAGGGATCAGCTGCTTTGAAGATAATTTGGAATTTTACAATTGAAAGATATTTCATCAAATAAAGACCAAGGGAACTAGAAGATGCCCTGGCTCTCTACTCACCCACCAAGGTTTGGAAATAGACTACTTGAAACCGTGTGACAACAAGTGGTAGCTATGACAGGTCACATGCTTATGCATCCGGAACTTTAAAAGCAACCTGATCTGCTATTTTGTCCCAATTTAGAATGTAATCCTTCTGTTTATTTTTTTACTTTATTGGAGGTTCATTGCAGGGTCTTTCAATTGTAAAATTCCAAATACGGATGTTTCAGCATTATCTTCAAGCGCAGGTCAAAGTATGCAGCAGTGCTTTACAGCTGGTGTTTGTCTAAGGAAGGTGGAGCTATGTTCTGCACAGAAAAGTTGGAAGAAACTTACAAAAATAAAGCTGGGGCTGAAAAATACAGAAAGTAGGAAAGCCATAATTTGTGCAATTATAAAACTAATAGTAAAAAGGATCTCAAGAAAATCTCTGGACCCAGATCTGTCAAACATGCAAGATCTTATGCAACTCCAGAAAAATAAGTTGATTCAAACCTTCTTGTATATATCTTAACACACCCACACAAGGTTGTGAATCAGCAAAGCAAAAGTGGTAGTTTATTCCTGATTAATGTAGCAATGTTTGCCAAGAGAGTTTCCCACAAAACAACATGTCAGACATCATACAGGGTTTTTGCTCCTGTTGCCCCCTTGCTTTCCCAGTGTCCTTGCATGGCACTTCGCTTGCTGGGGCCAGAAGTTGTCCTAAAATAAAGACCATCTGCCATAGGACGCTACTAGCTGTGCTGTTTGACATAATTAAAGAAAGATGTGTTTTAGGCCTGGTTCAGATGTAAAGCCTGGGGAAAAAAATTCTTAAGTAATTTTTATTTGCGTTTTTACATACAGTTCAAAAAGAGTAAGTAAAGCTTAAAAGGAGAAAATTGAAAACAAAACCAGGACACAACACAAAACAAATGTATTGTTCTGCTTTCCTTTGGACCACACCAGCAAGGCCAGGGTGTGGGTCTCATTGTCTGGGCAGCCCAGGACTTCTATACACACTGTCCAGGCTTGTGTCCCGGGGAGGGCACTTTATTGCTGCTAATGCAGCCATTTGGGTGGAGGTGTACTCGTTGACTCACGAGACAGAAGATTTTAGACACGGAGGCTTTCCTCAGTGCTCTGCAGGAGATACCACAAAGAGGGAAGGTATTTGGCAGGAGGAAAATCAGCCTTGATGGGATGATGTTTGTATCACTCAGGTTGGCTGTCTGGCTCAGCCAGGAGGGCTGAGTGCAGAGATGCCTCTACTCAATCCAGCCCCTACTCCCAAGTTTGGCATAAAGTGGGGGAGCAGGGAGTGGATTGCTCTGCTCTTCTCTAAAAAATAAATGTGATTGTAGGTAGTTTCTGCATTACTGTTCATATTTTAGATTCATATTTTAAACAAGTAAACATTAAATTTTTTTTTTAAAAGTCCATTAAAACAATTCCCTATTGGCCCAGCCTGCATCTGCTAAATGCCAGCCTCAGATATGTTCCATCCACATAACACAGTGTCAAAATACAGTCCTTTCTAAGTGACACTATATCTAAATATTAGCCAATATTATTTGGCAGTCTGTTTGCTAGCCACATAAATAAAGCTTTTATGTAATAATATCATGTAACGCAGGGAAAAGAATGCAAAGCATAGAAGGATGTTTCAACTAGGGCAAAGGTAAAAATGTTGAAGTTCACCAAGTGAAAGTGGGGTTTAATATTTGCAAAAGGATCTAGGTAAATATATTGTACTGCACCATCACACAGTGGCAGTTACAAAAATGGACTTTAACCATCTGTAATGTTCTCATATGGATGCAATTATAGGAATCATGCACATTGGTGGGTGGAACATGGCAATATCGTGTTGCTGCTTAAGAATGTGGTTACAGAACTAGACTTTAGATCATATGGGAGCCAAATGTTTGGAAAGAAATGAACATCATGTGGCAGCAGGCCAGGCAGAAGGTGTGATAGTTATTCCTGGAATGAACAGGGATTTATTTATTTATTTTTAATTCCAGCTCAGCATTTCAACTTTCTGAAGTGACCATTTGGTAGCCATAAAGAGCCAAAACTCTTGCATGATAGCAGATATGAAAAATAAGAACACTGTGTGCAGTCACTTGCATTCAGCCCAAGGACACTTAAAGATCAAATAAAGATAACTGCCTGGCTATGATGGGTTGTACGTATTGGAATGTTAATAATGAAATCACTATACTAACAAAGCATGAGAAAATTACATGCATATATGGTGATGCTAAACTTTATCCTAAACCACTACCCCCCACATCTGCTAACTTTTTGCATTTAGTGTACTTTGATTCACAGATTTAGGATGCTGTAGGTCTGCTTATTGTGTTTCCAATTAATTACCAAGAATCCTGTGCTTGAGATAGGAAGAGGAAATCGATTAGTATGACACACATAGTATAATGGTGCACAGTTATCTTATTCCAGCTGGAAAATGGAGACTGTGAAGCAAAATAAGTGAAATGTCATTGTAAATAATGTATTGATGTTGTTGCAGTAGCATGCTAAGCCAGTATCTGGGCCTATTTTGCAGGTCTTAGACCAGCACATACACAATGACTTGGAGCTGAAGATGTGATCTGACAACAGGCTTTGCAACTGAAGAGATACAAGGTGATACAAACACTCTTTCTGTATTGTTATATCTGTAAAGTGCAATAATTTCACATATCCAGGTAGCACATTTCCATTCTAACATTGTTGCTCCTAATTTGTGCTTCCTAATTAGCACCTATGGGATGCGGGTGGCGCTGTGGGTTAAACCACAGAGATTTTTGGCTTGCCAATTGGAAGGTTGGCAGTTCGAATCCCCGTAACAGGGTGAGCTCCCGTTGCTCGCTCCCTGCTCCTGCCAACCTAGCAGTTCGAAAGCACGTCAAAGTGCAGTTAGATAGATAGGTACCGCACCGGCGGGGAGGTAAATGGCGTTTCCGTGTGCTGCTCTGGTTCACCAGAAGCAGCTTAGTCCTGCTGGCCACATGACCCACAAGCTGTACACTGGCTCCCTTGGCAAATAAAGCAAGATGAGCGCCGCAACCCCAGAGTCACCCGCCCTAACGGTCAGGGGTCCCTTTACCTTTTAATTAGCACCTGCTTTACCAGCTGTTTTTCAAAGTAGCCCATTTTATATTTGCTCTCTTTCCTTCTCAGTCTCCTATTTTCATTCCTGTTTTTAATTCTCTCACTCTTTCATATTCATTTTAGTATGCTCTAATTCTGGAAGTACCTTTTAAATTAAAAAAACATTTTTTTTCTGTGCGGCGATTAGGGCACTAGGATGTACAACAGAACGGCTTAAACAGCACAGTTAAACTCACCTGAATACTGAACAGAATCACTCACACAATGGCTTATCATGCAGAGCTAGTTCATAGTTCTCTGTCATGTGTGAAATGGGCTCTACAGTACTTTGCAGTCGGCCATACTTTTTTTTTTTAACTAGTTGTGTATGTGCCCTGCAAAGATGTGTGTGTATGTGTGAGAGAGAAATTTCTGTGGAATTGTGATGTAGCAGGATGCTGCAAGTGAGAAGAAAAATCAAGAAAGCCAGTTATACATAGAAACATAATAATCCTCCCCCCCCCAAAAAAAAACTAATGCTGGAAGGGGCAGGACAATATTTATTTTTTGTTTTATGTAAAAGCATTTATAAACAATTTAATACTTTTTAAAATCTCAAAGTGGTGTACAACACAAAAACAATAAACAATATCATTAAAACAACAATACAATATAAAACAGTATAATAAAAGTATTTTAAAACAAAAGAAAGAATTAGGGATCCACAGCAACACAATGCCACCAACTCCTAACTCACTGAGACAGTCCAGGAGGATGCCATGATCAGTGTATTGAAAGCCACTGAGAGATAAGCAGTGTATTTTTATGTTGTGAAAGAAACAAACAGGGTCATCCATACAAGGCCTATTTTGTCTCAAAGCTGGGCTTGAACCCAAACTGAAATGGTTCAAGATAATCAGCTTCCTTCAAGAGTGTCTTCAGCTGCATTGCTGCTATTCCATAGTAAAATGAAGGTCTTAGCAGGATTGTGGGCTCTGACTTCTGGAAAATCCCCCAAAGCATTAATAAATTCCTCTAATTCCACAAGTCTTTGCAAGTGGACACTATGATGGACCCCCCTCACACCCTGAGGTAAAGACCAAATCAGGGTATGTATGTGACATCCTATGCATTGGGCTGCTGACAACTTTGAACAGCCCCATGGATTTCATTGAGAACATGAAGTTTTGATCTTACCCTACACTTGATAGAGCTATTGAGCTACCAGAACCAGTGCCATGGAATTCTCCCAACACCACACCTTGAGGCTACCAAGGTACAGGCCTTCATAGCCCACCCCAGGATGGAAAGGCTTCCTGGCGAACAAGACACAAACTCTATGGGCCACAGAGACTCCCCTTCTCTGGACCTCCAAACAAGGTGGATGCTGCACCAGGTATCTGTTAAACCTTGAATCAAATCCACTCTGCCCAACTCACCCAGGTCTCAGTAATAAAGGCTAGACAGGTTCCTTCATTTGTAATCAAACCAAACAGTAGCACCAACTCAGCTGGCACCAGGTGCCTGTACACCCAATGGCCCCCCTACCTGTGGTCACTTGTATAGGGTCACTATCAGTCTCCTCTCCTCTACTGTGTCTCACAGCTCGACTCATACACATTCGCTTCCAAATCTCAGGACCCTGAATAAGAAGCTCCCAACACAATTGCCCAACAGATCACATTGCCACCAACCATATATCTTGTGGATGTGTCCATGAATGGTTGCCATGCTCTTATCAGGTCACCATTTCCGAGGACTCTGCCTCTCAATCAAAATACTGGTTTAGGCCTTTCACCCAGGAATCAACCCAATCAACAAGTCAAACCAAAAAGGTAATCATTAGTTTGAGGACGACCCTACAGAATCCCTGTGGAGCTGATGATTAAGGCAGATAAAGGTGCCTGTTACAGTATTAGGAACTGCCAAGTTAGGGCTGGCTGGCCATTCTAGGAAACCAAACCCCTTTGCAGAGCCAAACTGCCCTGCAAGAACATCACAGGTCAAAGTGACAAGCAAGCAGCAGATGTGGAGGAGATGGTCTGAGTGTCTTCTGCATCTGCTGCTACGGGTGACTGCTAACACTTCATGAGAAAATCTACTCAAAATTATGTTATCTACATTAAATTTAATATCTGGGATGTGAAAGATTGTGAAACATTTGAACATTAGGAAAATAACAAAACAAGTACAAAGGTTACCACCATAAGATGCTTATATTGCATGCAAAGAAACCCAAGAATAGTGCACTATCTGAATAGAAAATGTCACCAGTTTATGGGCTATATACCGTAATTTACAGTGGTGCCTCGCAAGACGAAATTAATTCGTTCCGCAAGTCTCTTCGTCTTGCGGTTTTTTCGTCTTGCGATGCACGGTTTCCCATAGGAATGCATTGAAAATCAATTAATGCGTTCCTAGGGAAACCGCCTTCAGACCAGGTCCGGGGACAGTCTGTCCCCCGACCTCTTCTGAAGGCTGGGGGGGGGGGACAAGGGCTTTTCTTCCCACTGCCAGCCTTCAGAAGGCTGTTCTGAAGGCTGGCGGTGGGAAGAAAAGCCCTTCTTCCCACCTCCCGCCCCGCAAGCTCCGGGGACAGGAGGGCTTTGCTGCCGACCGCCAGCATTTTAAAAGCCCCTGCTGTCCCGGGGCGATTTTAAAATGCTGGCGGGCGGGAGCGAAGTCTCCGCTGCCCCGAGGAGATTTTAAAATGCTGGGGGTCGGCAGCGAACGCTTCGCTCCCACCCGCCAGCATTTTAAGATCGCCCGGGGCAGCGGAGAAGTCTCCGCTGTCCCGGGAAGGCAGGCGGGGGGAGCAAAGACTTTTGCCCCCGCCTGCCTTCAGAAGAGGTCCAGGACCTCGTTCCGATGCCTGGCGGCGGGGTGAGAGGTTCCCGCCCCCCCGCCCCGCTTCGGAGCAGCGTTCCGAAGCGGGGCGGCTGGGGCAGGTGTTCCCGCCCCCCGCCCCGCTTCGGGGCAGCGTTCTGAAGCGGGGTGGCTGGGGCAGGTGTTCCCGCCCCCCGCCCCGCTTCGGAGCAGCGTTCCGAAGCGGGGCGGCTGGGGCAGGTGTTCCCGCCCCGCTTCGGGGCAGCGTTCCGAAGCGGGGCGGCTGGGGCAGGTGTTCCCGCCCGCCCCGCTTCGGAGCAGCGTTCCGAAGTGGGGCGGCTGGGGCAGGTGTTCCCGCCCCCCCGCCCCGCTTCGGGGCAGCGTTCCGAAGCGGGGCGGCTGGGGCAGGTGTTCCCGCCCCCCCGCCCGGCTTCGGGGCAGCGTTCCGAAGCGGGGCGGCTGGGGCAGGTGTTCCCGCCCCCCCGCCCGGCTTCGGAGCACCGGGAGAAGCGATCTCCCCGCAGCCCCTTGCTTCAAAAGAGGTCCGGGGGCAGCGGGAAGTGCTTCCCGCTGTCCCCGGACCTGTTTTGAAGCAAGGGGCGGTGGGGAGAAGCGATCTCCCCGCAGCCCCTTGCTTCAAAAGAGGTCCGGGGGCAGCGGGGAAGAAGCGCTGCGCTTCCCGCTGCCCCCGGACCTCTTTTGAAGCAAGGGGCTGCGGGGAGATCGCTTTTCCCCGCAAACCCTTGCTTCAAAAGAGGTCCGGGGGCAGCGCGAAGCGCTTCCCGCTGTCCCCGGACCTCTTTTGAAGCAAGGGGCGGTGGGGAGAAGCGATCTCCCCGCAGCCCCTTGCTTCAAAAGAGGTCCGGGGGCAGCGGGAAGCGCTTCCCGCTGTCCCCGGACCTGGGGCTGCGGGGAGAAGATCGCTTCTCCCCGCCGCCCCTTGCTTCAAAAGAGAAGACCCGCTGTCCCCTGGGCAAGCTTCGTTTTGCGAAGCAAGCCCATAGGGAAATTCGTCTTGCGAGGCAACTCGAAAACGAAAAAACCTTTCGTTTTGCGAGTTTTTCGTCTCGCGAGGCGTTCGTCTTGCGGGGTACCACTGTACTTGCTCTATTTTTTATCATAGCAATTTCACAAAATCTTGCTGTTGGCAGCTATGCCCTAAATTACAGTGTGTTTTGGGGAACATTTAAAGATAAACTGGAGGGCATAGAATAATTTTTTTGATGAAGTGTTAATACTCAATGAAAAGGCCTCCTAAACCAACTATTTTCCTGTAGACAACGGAAAATGCCAGATGTCTAAGCCTTCCTATGGTGCTAAAAGGCTCAAGTAATCAACTGTTGTTGAACATGCCATTTGTATATTGTATCCATATTCATGTTGCATGTGGATTTTTTTTTTATTCACTTAATACAGAAGCACAACTTTTCTAAGTAAGTAATAATAGTGAAATATTACTGGCCGCCTGTAGTATTAATGGAATGTTGTGAGTTTAATAATGATAAAACATACTTAAGAACAAGTCTTTTCCACATACAAGATGGCACTTGCCTGTATAAAAATATGAATTTTATTACAGGGTTATTTGGAATATAATTTAACTGTACAGTTATATGAGGCAAGGTATTTATTGTATACCACTCGGTAGAGGAAAGAAGGGATGCTTTCTTAAGAAGTATCTTTATTACAAGTTGGTTAGCATATACTAGTTATGTAACATACATAAAATAATTAAAATTGGCTAGTTACAACCATAGAAGTAGTGTACATTTTAAACAACTATAGAACAGAATAATTATACAAAGTACATATAAAAGTACTTCATATACAAAGCAAAATACATGAATGTGCAAACACCATTTTTCATAGGTGGTGGTTTATTGGCTGAAAATGCTAGAAAAATCCTTCATTCCTGTTTGTTTTTGGGATTCCAATGTATTTAAAACAGATGTATTTCCTAGTCTGAGTACAATGTGAAATCTGTATTCACTATTTACTTTAAAAAATATAGAAAAAGTAGTGGTTTTTTTTTTAAAAAAAGTTAAACAATTTCAGTAACTGAAATTCTATAAATGAAGTCAGTTTGGTTAGTTGGTAGTGACCCAGTTCACATGAGATTGTAAACCATGGTTTGATGTTAGAATGAAAAGCCACAATGAGCCTTGGGCTAATATGCTCCCTTCCTCACCTCTAGCACACTTGTGATGAGCAGAATGAAAGCTCCCTCTTCCCTTTTATATCAACCATATTTGAATATTCTGTCCAATTCCTAAACTGTACCTGCTATTAACTATCGTTAGTGAAAATACCCCAGCTTTGTAAAATATGGGTTCAAATTGCCTTGTTTTTACTAATTACAGTTAAGACCAGTCATCCCCAAACTCAGCCCTCCAGATGTTTTGGGACTACAACTCTCATCATCCCTAGCTAACAGGACCCGTGGTCAGGGATGATGGGAATTGTAGTTCCAAAACATCTGGAGGGCTGAGTTTGGGGATGACTGGTTAAGACTAAACAGTTTGAGTGGGAAGCTTTTGAGCTGTTCCTCTTTGCTGCACCAGAAGAGGAGGGAATAGCATGCAAGCCCAACACTCGCTGGTTTGTCATTGTTACACTTGACCATAGTTTAGCATGACATGTGAATGTAGCCATTAAGTTACAAGCAACATTACTAAACACTAGAAAATACTGACCAGTATGTACAAACTCTGACATATTAGCTTGATATTTAAACATATTAGTACTTAAAACAAAAACATGACATGTTAGCTATCTAGAGACTCTACACTCAAAGTCATCACAGATTGCACCAAGTCAAACTTGTTATTAATTTTGGACTGTAAAAAAACCAACAACATTCCTCAAAGATTTTTAAGATGAACAAACACAATGTTAGCAAATGTAAAAAATCTAAAAACATTCTTCCAATTCATGTGCAAAAATGTTTTTAAAGTATCAAATCACACCATATTATGCCCAATTATGTACATATTCTTTATCTGTAATCACTGTTATCTAGCTAGCATTCTGCTATAAATAATTTACCTCTATCCTTCAAATGTCTGCTTTCAAGGATTTCAGTGCAAGTGTTTGTTTTGTTTAGTGCATTTATCATTGTGTTATTTCATTTTACAACGAGCAGAACAGCACATAAATTAATATACAACTTTTTATATTTCTTAGGCTTTTCTCCCAAGTGATTTGTAGAAGGTTTCGACCTTTGTCAGTTTTATTGTTGTCTTCATTTATCTACTGCCACAGGTAAAGAGAATGTAAATAAAAAATGATGTATCCTTCAACTATCTAGATATATCTGGAGACAAAAATATCAGGAAAGAAACCTTTCTTAAACTTTTTTGGTGTCTAGAATAAATGCCTTAAGACTCTGTCATGCATATTTATTGGTTTCCAAACCATGGTTACAGGGCTAGAGGATAGCCTGCACAATCCATTCTTTCCATCCCCTCTGGGTAATCTTTTGGGAAGTGCAGCAGCTCAGAGGGTTGGAGAAGTCTCCTGACAAATGTGGGCTGTGTTGTGTTGGGTGGTAGTGGGGAGGGGGAAATTACCTGAAATTTGGTTGAGGAACCTTGCATGAGCCTGATTATAGACACTTCCCCCTTCCCACTATATAGCCCTGTACAACCACAACCAACATTTTTCAGGAGGGTCCCTCAGCCGTCCCGGAAAGGCTTTTCAGAAGAAAAAAATAGTTGTGCAAACTGTATTTTGTTTATGCACCTGTGGGATACAATTCTTAATGGGTCTTGAATATTTTAATAATGCTGTATAAGATTTACTAGCCTGATAATTGACTCCCTTGCTGAAACACTGGAAAATAGAGGGTTATTTGGAAGAAACTGTTCACAAATAGCAAGTCTGAGATAACAGCATATCCCAGTACAAAGCAGCCTGGTCATCAGGCCTGCAATTCTATTGAAGAAAACCATTTTGCAGGCAGAGAAGTTAATTGATTTTGAGTGTTTTCCATATGGAGAGTCATAATACAGGCTATATGGTTAAGGAAAGGCGATGTTTTGAGTATTTATGGCTGAAATATAAGGCTGCTTGATCTGCAATAACAAATCTTCTCATAATCCAAAGTGATTTTATTTTGCATATGGAATCATTTCCTTTTTGCTGTTGGCAGCAAAGCAAAATTCCTAATTATGCATCTGAAATACAGCTCTGTATTCGGTCCATCCACTGCTGGGCACTTTGTGCATCTTGGGCACAGAAATTATATACACGTTTACTTGTCTTCAGCTGCAAAATGAAAAGTAAAGATAAGAAAATTGTGTCCTTAAAATGCATTCAATTTCCATACTTTCTTAAGCATAATTTTAGAGCTTATTGTGGCCAATTTATACTTTGTGCAGCACACATTAATTTGGTGTTCGTAGACACATGTCTCCCAGTGATAAATTGTAATTTTTGACAGGAGGACCCAACTATTGAGGAACTACTGCCAGCTCATGGTTCCCATTTCCCCTTCAGACATTAGAAGGTTTACCAAGACAGACAGCAAACTTGCCTCCTTCAGGGTGTTTAAATTTGACATCTTAGATATTCTGGAAATATATGAATTGTCTTTCTTACACAGTCTTTAATAATGGCTAGAATTGATACTTCTTGAGATATTGTATTGTTTGTATTTCATCTTCCCAGAAAAAGTTGGGCTGGCAACTTGAAAATCCTACATACTAAGTAATAACCCTCAAAAGGTTACTTTTTGTTTCATTCCAATATATATATAAAGTTGTCAATTTTGGTTACAGAGGAGTTCCATGCATTTGGGCTGACAATGGCTTCCAAACAAGATACGGTGGTACCTTGGTTCCTGAACAAAATCCGTGTTGCATGGTTCCGAAAAACATTCGGAAATGGACCAATTACTTCTGGGTTTTCGGCGTTTGAGAACCAAAATGTATGACAGCAAAGCTGTTTAAGGAACCGAGGTTCCACTGTACAGGCATTGTATGAACACTTGTGAACATTATTCCTGTGGGCTCTTTTCTTCCTCAAAGAAGGTTTGGGAGGATTGCAGAAATCCAGCATATCATGCCTGTGACACATTACAATGAATTAGTGATATGGGGGTGGGAATTTATCTGTTCAGGATTATTGTCCTGCCATGTGTAATTTCTACTTTGACAGGCAGAATATTCAGGACATTTTTGCCTTACACTTGAGTAGGTATGCTGAAACTCATATTCAAAAGGATGCAGCCATGAATAGCAGTGTGCTCTTTTATCAGCATTCAAGAGTAAAACCAATATACGTCAATCAAGAGCCTTACCTTAGCAGCAGTGTTGTTTTATCTATTTTATTTTTTAAAAGTTTTCTTAAAATGGAAAAAGGGACTAAGGCTATCTGATGAAAACTTCAAAAACATGAAGTTTGCTTAGTGTGAGTGTATGTGTGTGTGTTTGAGAGACAGATGCAAACACACAGAGGGAGTAGGGATTTTTGGTACTAATATGAAGTAGTCCAAGGTCCGTAGCCAATATACTTACATCAAAGAATGCTCTCTCATTAGCATGCTTTGGAGCACCCATAGTAGGTGAAGCAGGTATCACACTTTCTACTTCTGCAAGATCGATATGGCCCTTGCAGCATGCATCCTCAACAGAATCATAATATCTTAGCTAGTAACGAAAGAAGAAAATTATACACTATGAAAAGGAACAACAAACAGAATACACACTTGAGAACCTAACAATTGCCATAGTTTTCAAAGAATTTGAACCACTAGGACTTGGGTGGACTGCAATTTACAATAATATTGGAGCAGCTTGCTGCTTATAAATTCTGCAAAGAAATACATCAACCTAGGTATTTATTCAATGGCAGCTCTCAAAATTCCACTCAAAGGCACTTCAGTTCACAAACTCAGCGGTGCTGGCCATACATCCCAAGAGCCAGAGTGATATACTTAGTGTTGAAGTAAGAGCTAGGACCACTGTTCAAATCTCCACTGAGGCATAAACCTCACTGAGTGACCTTGGGCCACTCCCTCAGCCTAACCTACCTCACAGGCTTCTTGTGAGGATGAAATGGGGAGGGGGAAACCATGTATGCTGCTTTTAACTCCTTGGATTAAAGGTGGGATATAAATGCAATAAAATAACTAGATAAATTCCAGTCTCTTTAGGGGAGGAGGGATGCAGCAAAGCACCCAAAGCTTCACCTTGGGGTCAGAACATTTTTTTCAAAAAGATCTTTGATTGCCTGAAATTCTAACTGTCCTCTGTGTGAGAGATTACATAATAAACATAGACAGATGTTACAAACTCAGGAGCTATAATTAGGCATTTTGAATGGACTGTATTTTGAGGAGCCACCCATGGGTGATTAACTTGCAGAATTTATTGTGTTCAGAGGCAGCGTACCTCAGGATCAAATGCTGGGAATAAAACAGGGTGTGCTACCATACCCTGCCCAGTACTACTTCCCAGGAGCACCTGTTTGACAGCCACTAGACTAGGTCTTTGGTCTCACCTAGCAAGGCAGTTCTTATATACAAGGTGCTGTGGAAACTCTCAACACACAAACTGAGCAGTTCATTTGCTGCTGTTTTCTGAAACATAGATTCTAGTCCGACGTCAGAAAGCATCTCCTTGCTTCACTGAAGGTGCCCAAACTCAGGTCTCTTAAAGAAACATCTGTAAGCAGGGAAATCAGATAGTACAATTGCTTTCTCCTCCCCCCCCGCTCAGCCTAGTGGTATAATTATTTATTGCAGTCTCTGCAAAACTTATTTTGCACGAATAATAAGATTATTCTATTAGAAAACACAAGTAGATCTTACTTGGTGTTTGGTAACATCTAGCACAAACCAACGAGGTTTCCAGCCTTTCAACAAAGCTCCTCTTTTGTAAAGTGTACCTTCAAATGATCTTAAGGAAAAGAAAAGAAATATATATATATATATATATGCATTTACTCTTAAGCTCCCTAGTGTCACCTAAGTAAACATTTATGTATCAGTATCAGTAATTACCTCATATTTCTCGTTAAATCCATGCAGTTAAATCCATATTTTCTTTAATGAGAATTGTACAAACATTCCTACAAGGTCAATGCATTTGGAATAGTGTGATCCTTGGATAACCATGAGGTTTAAAGTGTTTTATCTGTTATCAAAAATACTGTTTGTATTGTATGCCAGACTATGTAGCAATTATTTCTCTGTGTAGAGTCTTAATGCAACTAGCATCTTGCCTCTAAATGAAATAGGGCCATTAGGAGGAAAGAAGCCAGATGCCTTAGATTGTAAATAATAATTTAATGAGTTTCCCCAGCCACTCTGAACATACTTATGAATTAAGCTGAAAATAAAAATGCAGATTTAATAAATGGTATCTCATTACTCAAAAGCATTAAATAGTCAGCATACATCCCCAGAAACGTTTCTTCTTTGAGCCAAGGATTTACCTCAAAATTCTTTTGAAGAAAAAATGTAAATAATATGAATAAAACAGTATTTTAAAATAGCAAAATTTATAAGAGAGATAGTAGCTAGTTGTCTGTACTTGCTTTCTATTTCAATACGGTATTGTTTTAATACCCTGATTACTTTTTTGTTATATTTGATGAACTGCAGTTTGAAACAGCAGATTAAGAAATGGATGTAACTTTCCTTCCTGGCTGAAAAAGAGGTGAATCATATGCTAACCACTCAAATTACCTATTTTCATCATTCTTTGATGTGAACTGATTGTACAGCGTAGTTACTCTCCTTTCCACACCATTGGAGGGTGAGATGTTGGTGTTCTGTTCTTCACCCAATCCACTGTCTGGTAGATGTAACAAAGACCTCTTTTGATAAGAATGCAGATTGGCAGACATGATTGCTGACGAGCCAGAAGGATGTCTCCGATGCTTTGAAAAAGTAATAAAATTTCAAGAAGTTTTAAGATGGAGGGGTAGTCAAGGTTTCACAAAGCAACATTCTAAACTGGGATTCCCGGCTGGCTTAAGTTTAGAACCACAGTGACCATTAAAACATTTTGGCAAGAGTACAGCACACCAATTCACAGGGTGAATTAAAAGCGTAAGGAGCTGAATTACTATAGCTGACCTCATTAGACAATACTATTTTCTTCATGCATTGACAAAACAAAGAGTATAACTATTTCACAAAATTCTTAAAATTAGAAATAACCAGGAAGAAGGGAAAACCACCACTGTGTGTAAGTCCAGATCTAAGCAAATCTAAAACTGCCACTTTTACTTTAAACAGGTAATAATTCAATTTCAGAAGGTGCTTTGGTCACAACTCTTGCCAGTCTTTGTTTGAAGAAGGAATGCAATTACTGATCAGTGTGCCTTCTGCCACTTACATTGTCCTGCCTTGTATCTTCTTTCACATTTACTTTGACTTTTTCCCACAATGGCTGCCACCTTTCTGGGCTTTGATTTAACTTGTTCTCCAATCTTTCGATTTCCTGAAAACAATGGAAGGGGTTTTTCCTGACATTAAATATTTCTGACGGTTTGTTTGTGTCATTAAAACAAAAGCTACAACTGCTTGCCATGATGAAAAATGATGAAAAGGGCTGGATATGTTTTTAAAAGAGTATTTGCAAAATTCAGGCCCAGTGCTATGACATCAATATTACAAACTGCCAAGAGTAACATTTACCCTTTTTTTAAAGGAACACTACCAAACTGTAATAAAAAAACAAAATGAAACAGCAAACTTATTTAGTATGTATGCCAGACTGTAAGTTGTTCTTGTTGTGAAACTGGGAATTTGAACTCTTTGGTAGCCTCTTGCGACATTTTATTAATGTATGTTCCTGTGTGAATTTTTCGTGAGATAGGCATTTGATTTGTGCATCTGATTAAACAATATTTAAAATTAGCTATGGTTTAATGCGAATGAGCAGCAAATCATGGATACTTTGCTCCTCCCATGTTCCTGCTCCTGCTGGGCTGTCATGAAACAAGCCATAGTCTGGTTTATTATGTTGTCTGAACTTGGGCTCATGGTTTGTTTCTCTTGAAACAAGCCAGAAGCAGATGAATGCAGGAGCACAAGGAACACAAAACTTTGTGAAAGAGACTATATGAGTAAATGTCAGATATACCTGTAAAAAAGCTTTGCCATTTAAGTGTTGTTCATGTTAACTTATCATGACACACAGTAATAAAACAAACTATGGCAGCATTGGCTAATATCAAAGTTTTTGTTACTTAAATTGAATAAGAGCATATTGCTTGTTATTGAACTTCTGTTGTGAAACATTTGATCTTAATCCTTTAATTAAAATTCAGCGTTGTATTTATAGCAGGCATTAGCTTATTGGTCATTGTATTATCTTCTGCTTCAAAAGAGAAAGGACACTGAAAATAAGGTGGCAAGAAATGCCCTCAAAACTCTAATTTTAGGAAATCATTTGCTATAGTGTGGCTCGGAGCCTAATGTTTAGCTCCATGACCCCAAAGAGCATTGTGCTCTGCAAATACAGCTCTCCTTCTCTTCACAGGGTTAAAAGTTAGCATCTAAGCCTCTATGTTCTAAAGCGAAGTATAAATTCTAGGACAGGGGTTGGCAAGGTTTACCTCACCTGGGCCAGTTTACTCCCGCGGAGATTGCTCTGTGGGCCAGATCGCATCTGTGCAGATGTGATTTCCGGCGTCTGCACAGACGCAATTTCCGGCACCGCAGAAGCAAGTCCCCACTCTGCTGGTTTAGCGCAGCATGTGGGGACTCGCCAAGTGGGTGGCTTGGTTCGGGGGTAGCTCATGGGCTGTTTAAACGACCCCTGTCGACTGTTTGTGGCCCATGGGCCGCAGGTTGCCAACCCCTTGTTCTAGGAACATTGAAAATGTCATAAACAGCTAGTTGGAGCCAATAGTTATTATGTTTCAAAACCACATTTTATTTACTGCTAAATTACAGTTCTTTCTTCTAAACTGCAGAAGGATCATATGCTAAGAGAAAGGAAAAAAACTGAATTCAAGTATATAAAGCCGAACATGGACTATTATTATAGGCTAATTTTGAATCCATTTTCCATAGTACGGAAGCACAGCAATTACTGATTGTAAACTGAAATTATTTAGGCATTTCCCTGCCCCCCAAATTGATATGTTTGGTATGCATTTTTTTATTGCTTTAAAATAGCAATTAGTTCAGGGAAATGTCTCGCTGCTGCTTATTATAAAAACTATTTTAAAGATTTTAAAACACATCTTCCTAACACTTGTCTGCATTCAATACCCTTGATACTACCTAACCATTTTTCAATGGAATTTATTATTCCTTAGAAGTTAGGATAACCACACTACATAGCAGCTCCACTTAGTTTAGGCAGACGTGGAGTTTACATGAAGCTAACCAATAGATGCTAGTGTGGTTCTGTTGTACAATGAGAGAAGCTACAAGTTCTTTGTGTGAAACAGTTAAAAATACTCCAAATTGGGCATTTCACAGACTATATCCTAAAGACCACTCACAGACTTTAAAAAATATTGTAATACATTTCAATATTTCCAGAAAAGGACTAACATCCAAAATGTATTGTATTTTGCTAACATAATTTGAACAATTGGTTGGCTTTCAGTTAGTCTGGGAAACAGGCATAGGCAATCCTAACTCAGAAAAAGGAGTAGTCTTTCCTTTGCGCCAAAGTATCATTTTGCTCTATTTCTGCTTTTGTAAGGGAAATACGTTTTTAAAAACTGAATGGATGTTACCTGACACCAATAGATGCTTAAAAAATTATACTCACATTTAATAGGCTGGTGATGGCATCTGGCTGGACTTTGCTAATGTTGTCATAGCATGGCCAGACAATTTTCCTCTTACTGTGGGAAGGTGACATGTCCATTTGGTCAGGTTCATCCAAGGTACTACATTTTGCAGTTACCATGGCCCAGTCATAAGAAGGACCAGTAGCCAAAGTCTCCTCTGTGTAGTAATCCCACTTTTTAAGACTGGATATGTTTACATTTGGTTTTAATGCCTGTAGAAATTAATGCCAGCAGATTAAAAATGCATAATGGCTTTCTAGTATCATTGTCCCCCTTTCCTCAAAGGCCAATTGATGTGCACTACTTCAACTGCTCTTCTGTACTTAACATTTTATAGCTAACATCTGGAACATACCTGACCTGACCTCAAACTTTTTGCATTGCTGAAGCAAGCTGCCTCAATTGTAAGAACAAGATAAATATTCAATTTCCTTATTAGGGTAATAAATTCAAATTTCAGTTTGTCCATACTGTTCAGGGGGTAAATTATCTCTTTATTTCAGTTCTAACCTTGGAAAGCCCTCCCTTTCCTTCAAATTCCATTTATCAAGGATATATTAGGCTCCTCATTCATCTAGCAAAATAGGTCAGAAAGGTCCTTTTGAAAGGATGTAATAAAATGCTGATAGAAATGGGTGATATTATTAAAGTAAATATGCTGAATATTATTTATAGACTCAGAAACCCCACCTATATATGTTTAAATAAAAATAGCTTTGCAGATTTTTGGTCCTAAGATTTTGTGATGAGGAGGATGAGGAGCTGTCACTAACTAGTTCTACTGATCCTGGTTCCAACTCTTTCCACAGTGCCAGGCATGTACCTTTATAACTGTGTCACCAACAAAGCTATAGCTTTTCAGTAGTAAAACTAGGTTTAAATTCAAGAATTAGCATGAGATCACCACCTGAGACCATGTCCCAGCGCCTAACCTGCTGCTGTTAGCCAAGATGCTGTTTCAATGCAGAGTTATAGGATATTCTAGTAAGAGGCACAAATAAATTAAGAGGGAAATATGCTTGCCTTACATTGTCTATACACCTTCGCCCCACAACACAAGCTTAAGGTTGCAGAACCAAAGCTGTTATTCCCCCTCTCCTAAAAAAAAAGCAAACTGCACAATTCCTTCCGCATGCCCAGGTGGTTGTGTTTGGAAAACATTAATGTTTCATGCCAGATAGTGAAAAGTGCTTTTGAAACTGAAGGCTCTTCACAGTACAGGATTTTGCTTGTTAAAGAACTAAAAATATCCAACTGAGCATGCCCCAGCCATTGGATATGCTCTTGGGATCTTGGCCATGGTTCTGTAGTCCTGTTTATGCTAGTAAACATTCAGGTCATCTAGGTAGTTCACTCAATGAAAGTCTCAAATGAGACACCAAACTTTATTCAGGTACCAGGATAATGAAGATCCTGAACCTTTCTGCTTTATACCTCTGTTTCAACTGGTGCATAGAGGTAATTGAAGAAAACAGGACTTCTTTTGTGAATTTTGTCTATGCATTCCCACATGCAAACTCCTTTCTTGCCATGTTTCTCTCCTTTATCTTCAAACAGTGTCCCTAGAAAACAAGAAAACATAAGAAGTTGAAGGAAAGAACTCTCCTTGCCAGATAGTGAAAATAACTTTTGAAAATGAAGGGCCTTTACAGCACAGGGTTTGCGTGTGAAAGAACTAAAAATATCCAACTGAGCATGCCTAAGCAGAGAAGCGGGGTTTGGAGCAGCACAATGGTCACTGAGGGACAGCATTCGATAGCTCCTCCCTGTTCTCCAATGTTCTTATACATAAGTTTGTGACCTTCTAAGGCTTCTTTTCTTTTCTTATAAGTTTGGAGAAGATGCATCTGATTATGTGTCATGAGTACTTTCAGATATAAACATCACTGTAAGAAATTCAGCTGCCTTTTATTAACAGCTGTCTGTGACATCACAGTGTAATTTAACTGCTAATACCCGTTCACTAGCAGCACTAAATTGTGGCAAAAATGAGGACTCCTCTCTCAACATGCTTACATGCCACAAGCAGGGAGCCACTGCAGAAAAGGCCCATTCTTAGTTGCCACCCTCCGGACCTCTTGTGGAGTAGGCAGCACACGAAGAAGGGCCTCAGGAGATGATCTCAGGATCTGGGTAGGTTCATATGGAAAGAGGCGGTCCTTTAGGTATTGTAGTCCTTTAAGGCTTTATAGGTCTAAACCAGCACTTTGAATTGGGCCCGGAAACTACTGGGGGGAAAGCCTCACTCCCCCCCCCCAATTCTAACTGTGAAAAGTTAAAGTGCGGCTTAAATTCGCAACCTTAGAAAAATTGGCTTTTACAGTATTGTTGCTGAAACAGACATATGGTAAAACAAAACGGGTGTGAGTGCCTGTGGAATTTTAAGGGAGCGGCTTATATTCAGGTATAGTATTTTTTTCCTTTTCTCCCCTTGAATTTTAAAGGTGTGGATTATATTTGGGTGCAGCTTATATTTCGGCCAATACGGTAATTGACAGGATTGGTGTTATATGCTCAAACCATCTTGCCCGGTGAGCAACCTGGCCTCTGAATTCTGTGATGTCAACTACTTAAGTGAGAAAAATAAAATTTCATTCTAATGGGGCTCCAAAGGGAATAGAAGCCTTCAAAGCTCTGAAGACAGGACTTATCTGGGAGCAATGAACACACTTTACTTTTGGTGATATCACATATTGAGCTCTACCTTCTAGGCCAGAGCTTTCCAAACTTTTCATGCTGGTAACACACTTTTTAGACATGCATCATTTCGCAACACAGCAATTTACTAGCAAACAGGAGGTTAAACTAGCCCCTTTCCAGCCCCGGGAGGAGCATGGGGAACATTCGCACGACACACCTACCCACTGCAGCTGACACACTACCGTGTTGTGACACACAGTTTGGAAAGCTCTGGTCTAGGCAGTGTGGATATGTGGTTCCTATGCAGGGACGCGGACTTATAAAAAATATTGGGGGGGGCCCGGGAAAGCTCATGAATAATAAATAAGCTCATGAATATGCAAATAAAGTGGCGCCGCCTCCTCGTGAGCGAATAGGGGAGAGCGTGCTGCGCCTATTAATCAGCTCCAAAGGAAATTGGGTGGAGCTTTTGCTCGGGAGGGAGGGCAGGAGGCATGCAGCCCGCCCCTCCCTGTGCATTTTGGGCTGGGGGAGGGGCGGCGATGGCGCTCTGCTGGAGGGGCGCCGGAGATTATTGGGGGGGCAGAGCCCCCCCAAACGAATTTTTGAGGGGGCTCGGGCCCCCTCAAGCCCCATGGAGTCGGCGCCTATGTTCCTATGCATAGTGTCCTCCTTTTCCTGGTTAGGAAAAGGAGCTACTTGCCAGGAATTTTAAATGCCACAGGTAACTTCCAATGTCACAAGCTATAAAATGCAATCCATTACATGTCTGTTCATAAGTAGGCCCACTGAGTTCAATGGAGTTTACGTCCTGGTAATTATGTATAAGATTGCAGCCAAAGAACAAATTTCAAGATAGCAAAGGGTGGCAGGTATATTACAACAGCTTACAGCGGTCATATCTCTGTAGATTCAATGTTAACTTTAGTCAGTGCTTTAAAATAAAAATAAAAAGTAACACCAGCAAAACTGGGATCCTTACCATGTTCCAGTCTTTCATAGTCTGAGTCCAGCAAGAATGTTTTAAATCGATTGGAAACATAGTGAAAGGCTACAAACTTCAGGTAATACTGATTGAATTCAAACTCTGTTGGATACTGGTTGTGAATCTGAAATGCACAATTGATAGCAACATATATTACAACAATAATATATATTATTTTAAAAAACTAAACTTAAACAGCAAAATATATTATTTATCTTACTTTCATCAATCAGGCACCTCTGCAAGCTTTTCTGCTACAACCTTATAACTGCTAGATTAAAATGGGTTTTTAGCACTACTGTCAAAGCACTATTGTGCTCTTAGGGAAAGGCCCCAAATATGTGTTTTAAAATTCTGTGATCTTAATAAACAAACAATCTACTGTTACTGCTATTTTCATCATCATGCCATAATGCCACTTTTGAAAAGTTGTTACAAAAGCATCTCAGTTTGTTTTGTTGAAGACTGATATTTTGTTTTCATACCTTGTATCATTACGAAGTTGTTAGCTGCCTTGAGAGTTCTTGCAAACCAAATCATGGGACAGAAAGTGGGGGGGGGGAGGACATAAAAATGCAGGCCTTATTTGAAAATATTTGCAATGCCTTAAGTTCCAGTTTTGGTTCAATAACAGCAATGAAAATCTTGCACCACACTGTCTGCTGGAACTGTATTAAAGCCAACTAGGGTATTATTGTTTAAGTGGGCTAAAAGTGTTTAAGTGGGCTAAAAGTGGTATTATTGTTTAAGTGGGCTAAAAGTGAAGTCAATATTTCTTCAAGTACTAGGAGTTACAAGGTATCTGTGATTGACTCACTAGGTGTTGTTTTTTTTTAACCAAAAACCTGGAAAGCAGCGGGGGGGGGTGTCCTGAAAATCTGTTAGCAGTATTGGGGGAGGAGTGCTTTACTTTTCACCCCTCCCACAGATGCTTCCTGCCCACAGAAGGAAAGTAAAGTCCCTCACAGATCTTCCATATAATATGTAATTTGTCCTTTTTTCTGCAGGAAAAGAATGGAGCAGGTGAAAAAGAGGCTGACAATTACCATTTCTGTTAATTACTTAAAATGGATAAGTAGCATTTACTGAAGATGTGCATCCATGCCAAATGGGTTTTGAAAACAGATCTATAAGTTCCCAAGTGATGATGATGTTGATGATAATACTATGAAAGGGAAAAAGCTACCCACAAAAACAATTCATTAAACATTTTTTTTTATACCACCAAATTCCTAGTGCTTTCTTCAAATCTGGCAGGCAGGCATGATGAGAGTCCACAGCATCTAGAAGGCAGACATTGGCTACCCCTACCACAAATAGTCACTATAGAGGTAGTGGGGTGGAAGCTGTTCTCATCATTTCAGTGAGATTTCATTTTAGGTGTACCTTTGGATCATACCCAGTCTACGCCTAGCCTACAAAGAACACACATGGCTGAGACAGCAACATATGCTGTAACTTTTCCTCACTACAGTAAGGGTGGGGAAGTGGAAAGAGGTAGGAAGAGAAGAAATAACTTTCACAGATAAAAGTTTTATGCAAATGCAGCATTATAACAACACATTAAAACTGACACGGGATTCTGGAGAAAGTGATGGAAGCTTTCTAGTGTGACATCACTGTCACAAATTCTGTCTTCCTAGAAACATCTACAAGATCTACCAGATGTTGCTATTGTGAAATAATGATTCACATTAATAATTCAGCTGACACCTGGAGACACTGGCATAAACAATGGCTTTTTGTAAGATGATGCAGTTCTAATTTAAGAATCCCTGTTTTATATGTTCTTTCTAGTTGAAACAAGGACGGCTTTTTTCCGCAGGATCATTCCAGTCTCATTCAGCGTGTTAAAAGTGGCATGCCATTAAAACCTTCACTTATTGCTTCTGATTGAATTTGCACAGCAGATCCAAAATAAAGAAACAGAAGGATTCCATTGTCATCTTTATGCAGAATGAATTACCGGTAATTCTAGAAAACCATGTTCTACATAGGCAAGACTACAATCCAAAAAGTAGTTATTCCAGTGCAATGCTAGAGTCCATTTCATGTACAAGGCATCATGGCTATGATTTTCAGATGCCAGGAGCTAACAAGTGATGGCTATCACCACCGCATCCTGTTTACAAGCTGATCTGTGCACCACATGTCCTCTGTTGGAAATATGATACTGAGCTGGATGATCCAGCATATTCATTTTTGTTTCTTGGTGTTGACTCAGGTAGATGGGTTAGCACCAGTGAGCTCTGCAAATGTAGAAAAATCTTACCTGCAGGTGTCTGCAAATATTGGATGGCCTATCGGGCAGCCACTATTTGTGCTTGCCACCAACTTGCTACCGTCTCCCCCCAAAGCTTTATGGCAATGAAGAGGGCTTTAGAGTTCTCTAATTTGTGCTGAGATATGGAAAATATGTATTAAAAAAGAGAGAAAGAGACTGCTGCTGTCACTTAACTTTACAAACTGCTTTGCAAGTGAGAGCTAGGGGGAGTCCTTTTTGCCAGAGGAGCAGAGGCATAGCATCTATGGAGCAGATTTGTGGATACTTGCTTATATTTTCTTTGAGAAGTATGGTAGAAGTACATTACACTACTACCATGAAAACAGCTTTAATTTCACATTTTTCTGTCGCACTAAGTTTATTTATCCTACTGAGAACATAAAACATGTTCCTCTTTTTCTAATATATTTGTCCATTACCCTGGAATGTTGGCACTTTGCATCTATCTATCTATATTAGAGATAAAGATTTGCTCAACTTACCTGGTGAACACAATCCAAGAACTGCAAAAAGACAGGAGCAAATCCACTCCCCTGGCAATTGAGAGTCAAATTACTGCGCTGGCTGAACTTGTGACCAAATGACAGCCATTCTTTTTCCACTAGCATTCTGAAACCTTCAAGTGTTCGATAGAATGGATCACTGAGTAATTGCACGAGAGACACCACCTGGATATCAAATGACATTTGTAATACATTAGATACAGCACATTAGAAACAATCTAGTATGTTGCATGAGAAATATCTGGGCACTGCTGTGGTGTATACCTTTACTTGTCTCTTTCCCCCTACCGTTTAGTGTACCTTGTACTTCTATCTTTGAAGTGTGAGACCAATCAGCAGAACTGCTGTGCATATGTACAATGTCAATACTGCTTGTGGAGGTTGGTGATGCAAACTCTGCGTCACCATCAGATAGAGCTTGCCAGAACAGTAAAGAATTGGGAGGGGTGAGAATGAGGCTCAAAGAATAAAACAAGTTGTCCAACTTTTAAAATTTCTACTGCCCAATCACTCTGGGACCACTCCTCTGGTGCACGTGGAATACACAAACCAGGAGCCCTTGGTTTCATGTTATATCTAAACCAGGGATCATGGTTTATAGCTCCCAAACAAGCCACAATTGATAACCAATCTTAAGTCATGTTTGCTGATAATAACTACTTAGGGAGCAACAAACTGCAATCCCCGGTTTGGGCACAATGGATTTATCCTGCTCACACTAGGGGATGGATGAAATCAGAGCACACTGCTTTTTCACATTAAGCCATGATAACTCAGAAACTATGTTAGATGTAGTAAGTACATCTTACTACATGAGCTTTAGGGCAGCAGCTGAAGAAGCTTTAGGGCAGAGCTTTAGGGCAGCAGCTGAAGAAGGAACAAAAAGGGTTTTCTTGTGTGAGTTTCTTGTGGCTGTTTAGCTGCTCTCTCTGGGCAAAGGTCAGAGGGGGCAGGGCTTCTGTTGAGGTAGGTGATTAGCTGTGGGAGGAGCTTATCAGAGCTTTAGGGCAGCAGCTGAAGAAGGAACAAAAAGGGTTTTCTTGTGTGAGTTTCTTGTGGCTGATTAGCTGCTCTCTCTGGGCAAAGGTCAGAGGGGGCAGGGCTTCTGTTGAGGTAGGTGGTTAGCTGTGGGAGGAGCTTATCAGAGCTTTAGGGCAGCGGCGCGTGCCTAGCGGCGCGCACAGTTTGATCCATATTTTAGATTTAGGGGAGCTAGTCTCAAACATTTGTTGGGGGAGACCTAGGTTTTTTGGGAGGGATTTATTTGTCCTGTCTCCACACTTTTTATGATAGAGGACCACTGTAGTCACCCCCAACGACACGTTCCCAAGATGGAGGGTGAGGGAACAGCTGCAGTCGCCTGTGGTTCCTGCGCAATGTTTGCCATCTTGCCAAAGGTTGCAGGCAGCTTTACCTGCAGCAATTGCATGTTGATTGCCCTCTTAAAAGACAAAGTCCAGCAACTGGAGGAACGTGTAGCTACGCTCCAAAGAATTAGAGAGCTGGAACTCTTCTTGGAAGCAACAGAGCACACCGTCTCCACCAAGGAAGAGACAGGGGACTCCCCTGAGAAGGTGGCTAGTTCACCAACACAGGAGCCAGATATATGGAGAAACGTGACTCAAAGAAGTAGGAGGCCCAGGGTTCGCTCTGATTGTTTAGAAATACGCAATCGCTTTGAGGTCCTTTCCCCTAGCATGGAAGACGAAGAGCAGACTCCATTTGAGGATCTCTCCCTCATTACAGTCGATCAGGTATATGAAGACGAGGAGCAAAGGCAGTCCTCTGGGAATGTCCAGGCGACCTTGGAACCGACAGCTCACAGAAGAACCCCGACCAGACCTAAGAGGAGGCGTGTAGTGGTGATAGGGGATTCCCTACTGAGGGGAACAGAAGCAGTGATCTGTGGGCCTGACAAGATGTCTCGGGAAGTGTGCTGTCTCCCCGGGGCTAAGATCCAAGATGTAACTGAACGACTGCAAGGAATCATAAAACCCACTGACAAATACCCCTTCCTCTTGGTTCATGTGGGAACCAATGACACTGCAAGCAATAGCCTCCAGAAGATCAAAAGAGATTACGAGGCTCTGGGCAGGAAATTGAAGCAATTAAATGCACAAATTGTCATCTCATCTGTCCTCCCAGTTGAACGACGTGGCCCAGGGAGAGAGGGAAAAATAGTGGAAGTGAACAACTGGCTTCGCAAATGGTGCAAACAGGAACGGTTTGGATTCTTAGATCACGGAATGCAGTTTCTTGAAGATGGACTTCTGGCAAGCGATGGGCTGCACCTCACAACGGTTGGGAGGAATGTTTTTGCAAAAAATCTCAGAAACCTCATCAGGAGGGCTTTAAACTGACTAATGTGGGGGAGGGAGACAGTGCTCCTGAAGGTAGGAGTCTATCAATTGATGAAGATGATCATCCAAATGTCATAGACCGAATGGAGCAAAGAGCATGCAGACCTAGTGGTGGGAGGAGAAAATCCTTAAATAAGAGACACGGGGGAATGATTAATGGACTTCAATGTCTGTACACTAATGCGCAAAGCATGGGAAATAAACAAGATGAGCTTGAGCTCCTGGTACAGCAAACTAAATATGACATAATAGGAATCACTGAAACCTGGTGGGATAAATCCCACGATTGGAATGTAATAATGGAGGGATACAATCTATTTCAAAGAAACAGACCAGACAAGAAAGGAGGAGGAGTGGCGTTATATGTCAGGGATGTGTATACCTGTGAAGAGATCCAAGATTTAGAACCTCAAAGCCAAAGTGAGAGCATTTGGGTCAAAATTAAGGGAGAGAAGAATAACAGTGACCTCATTGTGGGAGTTTACTATAGATCCCCAAGCCAAACGGAGGACATAGATGATGCCTTCCTGGAACAGATGGCCAAGCATGCAAAAGGAAGGGAGATAGTAGTAATGGGGGACTTCAATTACCCGGATATTTGTTGGATGTCAAACTCAGCCAAGAGCATAAGGTCAAACAGATTCCTCACTGCCCTTGCAGACAACTTCATTGTCCAGAAAGTGGGAGAAGCAACAAGAGGAACAGCCATTTTAGATCTGGTCCTAACCAATGTTGATGACCTGGTTAGTGGGGTAGAAGTGGAAGGATCATTAGGCGCGAGTGATCATGCTCTTCTGAAGTTTACTATACAGCGGAAAGGAGCAGCCAAGCATACTAGGACTCAATTTCTCGACTTTAAGAAAGCCGACTTCATAAAGCTTAGGGAAGTGCTGGGTGAGATCCCATGGACAGTAATACTAAAAGGAAAGGGAGTTCAAGATGGCTGGGAGTTTGTTAAGAGGGAGATAGTAAAAGCACAACTTCAGGCAATACCAATGAGACGGAAACATGGAAGGTGCCTAAAGAAGCCAGGGTGGCTATCTAAAGAACTTTTAACTGAGTTAAGATTAAAAAAGGATGTGTACAAAAAATGGAAAAGGGGGGAAACCACCAAAGAGGAATTCAAACAAATAGCCAGCACGTGTAGACACAAAGTCAGAAAAGCTAAAGCACAAAATGAACTCAGGCTTGCTAGAGAGGTTAAAAGCAACAAAAAAGGCTTTTATGGGTATGTTCGTAGCAAAAGGAAGAACAAAGAAACCGTGGGGTCACTCAGAGGAGAAGATGGTGAAATGCAAACAGGGGACACAGAAAGGGCTGAACTCCTCAATGCCTTCTTTGCCTCAGTCTTCTCCGATAAAGAAAACAATGCCCGACCTGAAGAATTTGGAGCAAATGATTCAGCAGAGGAAACACAGCCCAGAATAACTAAGGAGATAGTACAAGAATACTTGGCTAGTCTAGATGTATTCAAGTCTCCAGGGCCAGATGAACTGCATCCAAGAGTATTAAAAGAACTGGCAGATGTGATTTCAGAACCACTGGCAGTCATCTTTGAGAATTCCTGGAGAACAGGCGAAGTCCCGGCAGACTGGAGGAGGGCAAATGTTGTCCCTATTTTCAAAAAGGGGAAAAGAGAGGACCCAAATAATTACCGCCCAGTCAGTCTGACATCAATACCAGGGAAGATTCTGGAGCAGATCATTAAGCAAACAGTCTGTGAGCACCTAGAAAGGAATGCTGTGATCACCAATAGTCAGCATGGATTTCTGAAAAATAAGTCATGTCAGACTAACCTGATCTCGTTTTTTGACAGAATTACAAGCCTGGTAGATGAAGGGAACGCAGTGGATGTAGTCTACCTTGATTTCAGCAAGGCATTTGACAAGGTGCCCCATGATATTCTTGTAAAGAAGCTGGTAAAATGCGGTCTTGACTATGCTACCACTCAGTGGATTTGTAACTGGCTGACTGACCGAACCCAAAGGGTGCTCATCAATGGTTCCTCTTCATCCTGGAGAAGAGTGACTAGTGGGGTGCCACAGGGTTCTGTCCTGGGCCCGGTCTTATTCAACATCTTTATCAACGACTTGGATGATGGACTCAAGGGCATCCTGATCAAATTTGCAGATGACACCAAACTGGGAGGGGTGGCTAACACCCCAGAGGACAGGATCACACTTCAAAACGACCTTGACAGATTAGAGAACTGGGCCAAAACAAACAAGATGAATTTTAACAGGGAGAAATGTAAAGTATTGCACTTGGGCAAAAAAAATGAGAGGCACAAATACAAGATGGGTGACACCTGGCTTGAGAGCAGTACATGTGAAAAGGATCTAGGAGTCTTGGTTGACCACAAACTTGACATGAGCCAACAGTGTGACGCGGCAGCTAAAAAAGCCAATGCAATTCTGGGCCTCATCAATAGGAGTATAGCATCTAGATCAAGGGAAGTAATAGTGCCACTGTATTCTGCTCTGGTCAGACCTCACCTGGAGTACTGTGTCCAGTTCTGGGCACCACAGTTCAAGAAGGACACTGACAAACTGGAACGTGTCCAGAGGAGGGCAACCAAAATGGTCAAAGGCCTGGAAATGATTCCTTATGAGGAACGGCTAAGGGAGCTGGGCATGTTTAGCCTGGAGAAGAGGAGGTTAAGGGGTGATATGATAGCCATGTTCAAATATATAAAAGGATGTCACATAGAGGAGGGAGAAAGGCTGTTTTCTGCTGCTCCAGAGAAGCGGACACGGAGCAATGGATCCAAACTACAAGAAAGAAGATTCCACCTAAACATTAGGAAGAACTTCCTGACAGTAAGAGCTGTTCGACAGTGGAATTTGCTGCCAAGGAGTGTGGTGGAGTCTCCTTCTTTGGAGGTCTTTAAGCAGAGGCTTGACAACCATATGTCAGGAGTGCTCTGATGGTGTTTCCTGCTTGGCAGGGGGTTGGACTCGATGGCCCTTGTGGTCTCTTCCAACTCTATGATTCTATGATTCTATGATTCTAAGTAACCTGTTGCAATTTTAGAAAAAACAACATAGCCAATGAGATCTGGAATTACTGTTCATTTCTTCCATGGTTTCTTACATAGGACTAAAATTACTGGCAGTTTATTTTTACACCAAGCCTTTTCCAAACACCAGAATTATAGGACAAGAGTGCTTGCAAGTATGAATGTATGTGAGACAGATCCAGCTCCACACAGAGACACTACACATCAGTTGGCCATCAGCAAAAAAGTTCATTTCTTTCTAAAGGATTAAAGATTCAAGGGATGGGTTTTTTTTTAAAAAAAAGTTATATAAAAGAAAGCTGTGAAGGGTTTTAAGTCTGATGCATTCTTTGGCATCTGAAATTATTAAACAGATATAGTAAACTGCTCAGAGCAAAGTGATCTTTGCTGGCCATTAATATGTTATAGGCTCACCTGTGCTGTGATATCCCAGCCATCTTCCAGGCAAACCAAAACTGAAGAACCATTCTCAAGCAACTCCGATATAACCACACCCAACTGCATTATTCTGTGAAGCTATATACAGTATGTATATATAAAAGATGAAGAGCATATGTTAGAATGAAGGATAAATTAGTAAACAAAATGATTTCTGGAATCAAATTATGCTGGTACTCAACAAACTAGTCTTGTAAAAAATGAGTATTAGAAAGATTTTTATATGAATATTATTCAACACCCTTGCCTAAAGGCTACAATCAGTTTCGTTTAAGTTTCACTGAGGTCAGAGGTTATAAACAACAGAACAAGGAGGGAGAGCTGGAGAACATGCTATAGTGATGCTTTTTTTACTGGCATCAGACGTAATGCATAACCCAGGTTATGGGAAGGATTTTACCCATATTAAATCCAAAGAGGGCTTAGAACAGTCTAGAAGTCTAATACTGGCAGCCTTGATTGGTAATCTGATTTAAAAGATATTCTGTAATCTCTTCAAGCACCACAGACTCTTAGTCCATATAATAAAAAAGCTTGTGATTATTCTGTGTCTCACACTACAGCTGCAAAACATGAGTGTAGATTCTACACTGGAGTAGGAAACTTGTGGCCCTCCTGATGTTGTTGCACTGCAATTCCCATCAATCCCAGCTAGCATGACCAATAGTCAGGGATGATGGGAGTTGTAGCCTAATATGATCTGGAGGGCCTCAGGTTCCCCACCCCAAATTAGGGGACAAATGAGATACAATACTACTACCAATTGTGTGACTTGCTTTTAAAAAGTAAACTCCAAACATGGGGTAGGAAGAGATCCGGCATGGGTGGTTGGAGGCATTAATCTTTGCCCATCCACGGGGGTCCTGAATGGGTATTAATTAACTTAATTGCACTAAGAAATTGGTGGAAATAGAAGTTTTTCCCCTTCAATATAAATAGTAGGTGTGAGACCAATTAGGACCCCTGCAATGAAGAAAGGCTTAAAGCCCCCATTTGCCCCATATCAGGGCTCTAGTCTGGATAAGCTGCCCACCCCCCAACTGCAATATACTTTTAAAAAGCCATTGATTCTCAAATAAAGTCTGCTATAGAAAATCCTGGCTAAAAAATATTTAGATGCAGTAGACCATAACTTTTGAAACAAGTGTCTAATCTGCAGAGCACTCAAGCAGAAAATATCCATTTCAGTTCAAGGAGACTTGTGCCAAGGTACTGAATGAATACAATATGGTGGTTAGATCCTTAACTACAAAGGATAACCAACAATAACAGATTCAGCCACACTGTTATTCATGTTACATCATTCTTAATACTGGAAATTTAAACTGAAATTGCTTTAATAAAAGCAGCAAAAGATTTAAATTGACTTTAAGAGAGAAAGTAAATAATAACAACCATGTACTACATATTCATGACTGATTATAATTTATAGGGAGCCATGTAATGCTTCATTCGTCAAATCTCACAGTGTGAACACTGAAATACATCTGTCTGCATAAGAATACAGCATATGATATTTAAAGCAGTTATTGAAGAAAAGGAGAATTTTTCACTGGACAGAAATAGCACTTTGTTATGCATCAGAAATCACAAGACATTTATGACTCCATGATATCACTTTACCTGTGGGAACCACTCTGATTCTCCAAGTGCTTTAAGGAATGTTATTTCAGAATCTGCAGGAATATTGCTAGGGACACAAGCACTCATGAGCTTTTTAAAACTAGCTTTCACTTGCCGGATGTCACTGAACTCGACAGGAACAAATTCACAATTTAAAGCAAAATCAAGTTTGAAGCTCTGTGGACAAAGAAGGTATTTACTTGTGTTAATAATGTGCATTTAAAGTAAAATATTGCTTTATTTTACTTTAACACCTTATTAATAGTGTTACTTTAATATTGAGTGGTTTCCCGCCCTGCTCCCATTTTCATGAGCTGAATGGCTGTTATGCAAACAGGCTGCCACAATTGGATGTTACCCAATCCTCATGAGTCATAACAGGTGTTGATTTATTTAAAAACCTTGATATTGTGTTACGGGTGCTATGAATTGTCATTTTTTGTACTATTTTGTATAAACTGAAGATCTAACTGATCATACTACTTGCATTTCATTGCCATTTAACCCACCATGTGCAGTTTTCCCCTTTTGAATCCACGTTTGCAGACACAAGTGGACTCTTGTCTACAAAAACTTAAGCCATATTATGTTAAGAAGAGTTTGGATTTGATATCCCGCTTTATCGCTACCCTAAGGAGTCTCAAAGCGGCTAACAATCTCCTTTCCCTTCCTCCCCCACAACAAACACTCTGTGAGGTGAGTGGGGCTGAGAGACTTCAGAGAAGTGTGACTAGCCCAAGGTCACCCAGCAGCTGCATGTGGAGGAGCGGGGAATTGAACCCGGTTCACCAGATTACGAGTCCACCATTCTTAACCACTACACCACACTGGCTCTCTAAGTCTTTAAGTCTTTTTGTTGCTTTTGGAAGTACATTTGATACATGTTCACAATTCTTAACTCAATGAGCAATAAATGTGTATCTCTTTCAATGGTTCAGGGAGAGAAACTTCTATTGTTGAGATCGTTTAAGTAGTCATGGACTCTAAAGATATCCTGCAAACTAGCACACAGTTATGAACATTTAATGCCTAGTGAAATCAGTAGGGCTTAAACCTGCATAATTCTGGGCTGTATTGCACCACAGTTACATACAAATCTCCCCTTTAAAAGCAGCCAAGCAAAAATACAAAATTATAACTGGAAAGCATCCATACCCTTAGCTGAGATTTTTCTCCAAATATGTAGAGGGAAGCCTGGCGTTTCAGAAGCCGGTTTTGAAAATATGCACTACTGCTGGTATATGAAGGTGAACCATCTTTCCCTGCTAATCTTGCACCCACATCGAGGAATGGCATTTGAGTGCTGATAAACCGACTGCTAGAACGAAGACTTGCCCACACACCTTGAGAAAGATTAAAAATAGAATGAAATATTTCATATTTTCATGGAATTGGACTATTCTGTAACTCTCCAGTAAGGAATGTGCATTGTTTGAAAAGAAAACATTTGCATCTCAGTTACAATGTTTTTGGATAGGTCACACATAATGCACCTGGAAAAAATGTGCCAGCTTTGGGTTGGACTAGATGACGCTTTGGGTCCCTTTCAATTCTACAATTCTATTCTATGAAGTAATGCATAGCCAAGATCTGTCTAAACTGAGATAATCATCAAAACCACGTCACATTTAACATTAATACAGAACTCTTCCTATGCATTCTGTGTGGCTGCCAGGTGGGTGTCGCCATGCTCCTCCCATACTGTTACTGTTCAGGGCAGGTGGGGGAAAGAAGCTGCTAGTTCAAAGATGTTTTATTCCTTGCTTTGGCTGCCATCAGAAAACCACTTCATGTAGCTGGGTTCTATGTTGCAACAGTAAAATAAGCAACATCACATCAGTTGGGCTAGTGAGCCATGTGGTTAGTTCTCAAGCCCATATAGATGCAGTAATGGCACTGGGAGTGAACCTATGATCTAGGCCAGATGTGGGAAACCTTTTGTGCTCTGTGTGTTGCTATACCACTGCTGCCATCAGTCCCATCAAGGGTGGCCAATGGCCTGAGATGATGGGAACTTTAGTTCAGCAACACCTGGAAGGCCAAAGGATCTCCACATTGGATCTAAAAAATCCACTTGCTGCTATGCTTGCATATGTTACAATTACAGTGTGTAGCTTGACCATGGTGTCAGCCAAACTACAGAGATGTATGATCTAGGCCACAACCTTGCTGCCTCTTTTCTCCAGGTGTTGTTTCATATGAGAGCGTATAAGGCCACAAGAGGCTCTATTCTAGCACCAATCATTCTTTAAGAACTGAAAGTGCAGCAACAGACCAATCTTACAGTGCATTGGAGTGGGGGCTATTGGCTTATTATGCATGTAGTACCAAAAATAGTAGTTTAAGTACTCCTGGTGAAATAGGTGCACACTTTGAAAAGCTGATTTTTTTACTAAAACGGTAAAAATAGGGACATGCCTGCTGATATATCAAAGTCAGTCTGCTTGCTTTACATGTGAACATAGAGGACACAAACAAAAATGGTTTCTTAGGAAATTGAAGCTGGTAAGATGCTGTAGTCCCTTCTTTGAAATAAATCAAGCTGTAGCAAACACTTCAGCAGGGAGCACATGTTTAATCTGACTTTTGTTTTCCATATTATTAGTAAAAAAATAAACCATGATTTGTTACCGAAGAATCACAGAGCTTACACAGAAAATAAATGTTATTCCTCATTTTTTTAAACTAAAAGCCGAAGGATGTCCAGGAGAAAGCAACCCATCCCACTTTTTGCTATCGACAAAGGAGAGCTTGATTATAATTTGCACCACATAAAAGCAACAGTCACAGCTAATTGAAAAGCACATGCAGACTATAACAGGTACCAGTGATGAGTTACAGCGATTAAAGGGTTTACAGGTCTATACATATCACTCCCCAGCTACTATTCCTTGCCACAGAAGTTTTTTAATTAAAAAACAACAACAAACCAAAAGTGGCATACAACACGTTTCCTGTTCTCATTTTGAGATCATTGTTTTATCAGTGCTAATAATTATGTCACCAAGGTCTATGTTTATTACCTCTGTAAAATGTTACTAAATAATGATTTTAAATTTTATGTCAGCATGAATGTTTACTCAGTAGATAACAGCATTTCTTTACTCTGTGGCTACTGAGTATCAAAGCTTGGATGATGAGATAATATATTCTTTATCATTTTCTTGCAATGATGGCAAGGATACTTATGATCTAGAAGTTATTCCATATCATCCTGCAGCAAAGCTGTCACATGGTAACTAAATTGCGTGCCTAAGCAAGTTTACATGGTTTCTCTATACTGATATGCATAATCATGGAGATGGTAGAATGTACTATTAGTGCAAAGAATACGGTACCTTGATAGACTCTTCCTGATTTGGAATTTGAATGTGTGAAACATTTATCTCTGTACCCAAGCACTGGCAGATAGCAGTAAGGACAGGAGGAAAAGGAGGAGCAATGGAATGCACATTGCAATGAGACAGTCACAGCAAATTGAACAGGAAAGAAGAAAAAGGTTACTTGTACATTTCTATTTACTTGATTAAAATAAAACAACTGCTAATTATATTTTATTTTAATGGCTAGCGCCAAGGAATTGCCAAAAAGGAAAAAAAGGAAAGCAAATCAAGCTAAAATAATTTGGGAAAAAGAATAGGAGGGGGGAAATTCTATATTAAATCATTTACCAAACAGGATAATGTTCATGGCCACTGCAATTAATTGCAGACATGCAAAACAGCCAAAATGATGTGCCATTGTATTATACCAAATGGAAACTTGTCCATTGTGAAAAACATTTTTAAAATGTGTGAGATTTGTCAGTTAAAAAATGTTTAGCAGAACTTATCTCTATTGCCCACTTTGATTGCCAGAAGCATAAAATTAAACTAAATGCAGGGCAGACGTCCACATAATCTTACCTAAACAGATCTACATTCCTAAAGCACCATGCAAAGCATGTGGTTATTTACAGTCACATTATTAGCATGCATTATTTTGTTCTTGGGCAGTCCTGTCCAGCAGCACTCATGCACTGTGTGGGAGGGAGAAGACGACCTAGTCCTCCCATGGGATTAAGTTACTTAGGCCATTTGGTATAATGGAAATGTAGTTTTAAATAGAAAACCACAGTAACAATGACTCCTGCTTTGTTTTACAAACTTTACTTTTCTTGCTTAGATTCCAAATTTTTCTACAGAGACATCAAAGTATTTGAGAGCAGCAGGGGACCATTATTCCTGTGGAAACATTCTATTTCACTAACATTACCACTTAATATCTAGATGGCTGGAGGATAAACTGGATGCCAAACATTGTTTCAGATACCTGATTAAGTACCATACCATACTTGAGCCAAATAAAAAAGGGAATTAGAAACAGAAGCCTCTACTTCAAGTAATATGTTCGTACTCCTGCAAAATGAAACTATTTGGTCACATTTCTGACAGATACCATAAACAATGGAATCTAGTATGCTTGCCAGTACATCCACATTTTAAAGAATTCTTGCTTTTATTTGAAAAAAATAATAATTCTAGTAACTGTAATTATGGAGATAAGGGTAAAAATAAGTAAATATAAGGCAATGATTGCCAAAGAGACTAAATCTAGACAGGGGCTTCTATATGGAGCTTCTAATTGTTATGGTTGCAGACTTTCTTTTTAAAATCAGGACAGAATACGTGTAAAAGAATAAGCTGCACTGTAAAGTTAAAAATAGTTGTCATCACTTCTGCTGATGCTGAATTGTTGGATTATAATAAATTAGAACTCATATTGGTCAATGTCAAAAATATTAGCTAATTGAATTAACCTGCACAACTTAACCTGATAATAGTGAACATTAAAAAATTTGCTTCCCTGGCTGCAATTTTTTTAAAAAAAAGTTACAGTAAATTAAGTTTTTTGTTTATATAGAATGTGACACAGAACAGTCATGAAATGTACACATACAGTACTTCTGAATAAAACAGTCAGAAATGAAGTATTCACTGTCTGCATGGACACTCTGGAATGGAAGATATGGGAAACCACAAGTTGTGATATTATGAGGGGGATCCCAGACTGTGTTCAAGTGTACTGCCATAGTGCATTCTTATTTACTCACTTCCTAATTCAGTGGTAAAGTACTTCCCTACAGGACTTTGGGAGTGAATGATGGCAGCATGACAGGAGAGGAATCATAGATTATGCTCTACCGACTGAGTTATGCTCCCCATAACAGGGTGAGTTATTATTCTTCCCACCATGTTCATTTCCTGCCACTGTTACATATGATCTGGTTCCCAAGTTATATGACGGCAATGCTGGAAGATCTCTGTGACTGACAATTACTCCTAGACAGAGGCTTTCAGGTTTAGAGTGTTGCCACTGACTAGCTTCCAAAAGAATTGTGGTACTTTCTTCATAGATTATTTCTCTGTAGGCACAGTATAAGAACCCTTCTATATTATACCCCCTTTGTGCTAAACTAGCTAGCATGCAGCTCTAAACCATGGTTAACCACAGATATGCCACAGAAAACGTGAGTAAAATGTTGGGCTCATGTTCTCTCCTCATCTTTCCTCCTTCAAAGATTTCAGTTTCAAAATAGGTAGGTGAGTGATCTAGGAATCCTAGTTTAAAACAAACAGTAGTTAATTGCTAAACAAGCAAAATTCAAATGATGCACTATGAAGTTGGCTTGTTTAGCAACTAGGCTTTGTTCCTAGTTAACATATAACACTTAAGTACAGATTCTTTGAAATGCTCCTGGCAGCATGAGAGCCTGATGGCTTGCTTAGACTTCTGAAGGTCCACTTATTGCTAAGCCTTGATTTAGTGTAACATACAAACTGTTTCATAAACTCAAGTAATACACTAATAGGCCTTGCTAATGACCAGTGTAAAACACACCCATGTACTTGTGCACAATCCCACCTTGCTTTCTCAGTTTAATGCAGTTCAATTGGTACTGTCATTTTTCAGTCAAGAACATTAGTCATATTGTAGTCAACAGATGAACCTGCCTTAAATTCAAGAACTCTGGAGTAATCGGGCAATGAAGTGAGCCATTAGACTACTGTCTTCACAATTCAGCACCTTCCTTACTTTTCCACAGTATATAACCAGTAAAAAATTACAAATTCTACTCTCACTTCATTGCTAAGGGTGTATTGCATTTTAAAACATAATTTCTATTAGTTTCTAAATCTATTAGTTGCTAGAACATGATTTTCCAATGACACCTGTGCAGATATATTTAACTTCAGATTTAAAGTGTCACTCTTCTTAGTAGTTAATACTCCAGTTCTGGTTATTCTATATCACCACGTTCAAGACTGACAAGCATACTCCTTTGGCTTCTGCATACGTCACTTTATGCAAAGGAATATTTACACTTAAACACTCTGCTGACTGCACAGCCTCAGTTAATTGAGCACAGCCTCAGTATATTGAGTGATCAATATAGGTTGTAAATGAAGATAATTATTGGTGTTTAATAATTATTGGTGTATAATAATAATAATAATAATAATAATAATAATAATAATATAGTGGAAAAGTAATTTTTATTTCATCATTACAAGTTTGTTCATACATTATTTTTGTGATACAAGTAACTGAAATAAAGCAATACTCTTCACAATTCACCTTTGAGCTATCTTATGGAACAATTAGAAGCTACAACTGCCTGAAGCCTAGTAGTATTTACAACTATTATCTGAAGTGGAAACACTGGCCTGGAGATATCCACATATTGTAGAAGTGTGCGTGCGCACATATTTGCGCACATATTCTGTGTGTGTAAATGACTGCATGGGCTCAGTTAATTTTCCACCCACAAGACAGGATTGGTGGCACCCATCATCTGCTAAAGAGCATAGCCCCAGTCTAGTGAATAGAATTTGCATGCACAGCTCTTGGGTGCTGGCTGCAGGAATCCAATCACAAGAACCACATGCATATCCATTTGCATGTGCAGTTTCTATTTCAGCAAGGGTAAGCCTGTTCTCAAAGGTGGATCAGGTGGAGTTTGGTAGACTAGTTGGTAGTATTTGGTTTATACTGAGAAACAGAAGGATAACGCAATAGCAATTCCTCAAATGTTACCATTATTTTCATATTACATCCCCGTGTAGGCTTTGAACTAGTCTTACTAACCTCCTCGGGCAAAGCTATTGGATAGATTTACATCCAACTGTCCTGGCACTACCTGCTTAAACACAGTGGACATTCTTGAAGCCCTCCTTTCAGTGCCTAAAGTCAGTCAAAAAGAATGGAGAGATTAAAAGTACAGTATCATGCAAGATGACATTACCTATTTGTTATCCTGATCTGAGGCCCAAGAGGTATTTTTAAAAATTACACAGAAATGTTCTTTTTATGACTTATATATCTAATTGTTGCTAGTTTACAACATTTAAGAGACATTACACATAATTAAAAAAGTATACATTTGCAGCATCACAGAAGGTTAGGCATGGCTAACACAATCAAAGTATTTAACAACAAATGAAGCAAGGCATGCACAATTTGGTGATGGTGTTATGTTATGAGAAAAGCCAGAATTTAGATACACTTGATTTCACCAACTGATTAAGCCAAATGGACATACTTGGCAAGTTGCATGCTCCTGTGTCTAAGACAGCAGCTTTTACCTTTGCATGAACCCTATCAGGTTTCATCACATGACAACTGAAATAGAATATTAATGCATTTCTTAATGACTTCATCAAGACCTATCTACAAAAAGCTTATTACATTTTAGTCTCTTTGCTTAAAAAAACCCTATTCCTACGTTTGTTAGAGAATGAAAAGTAATCAATTTCTTCAGCATAAATTTCTAATACTTTGATATAAGCACTGTACATTTTCCCCACCTATATGGAATAGAATTTCATTGATTAACAATTCTGCTTAAGTCAAGTCATTTTACTTTTGAATTTACCCTGAAAAATTTATATGCAGAAACCAGACATGTCATCTATGTGGACAGTGAACCATTCAGACAATGGCACACTGAGAGAATATAGAGATAAAACTAGGAAACAAAACAAAATAAATAATAACACAGTCAGACTGGTCTTACATTTAGCATAGCTATATAAAAGCATAACATTACCTGGAGACAAAGCAATTGTTGGCCTGACAGTGAGAGTATTGCCATTCATTTTACAATGGACAGAAATTGCATTCAGTAAGGCTTGAAGGTATTTTTCTTGTTCTATGCTGTTTGATGATTCTAGTGATGTAGGAGCTATGCAAACAAAGGAGGGAATAAATTATATTGATACAGCATATTTCATGTCATTGAAGTGAAAGCATTACCCAGTATATGCTCTTATTTAGATAGCTGAATATTACTCCTAAGAGCCAGACATGATAAAGAATGTTGAGAAAATGGTAAATATATTCTGGTATTAAAAATAAAACCCAACAAATAAAATTTGATTAAACTATTGATCACCAACCTACCTCCAAGTATCAATGGGAAGTACAAATTACCCTTCTGTGATCACAAGTATAATATATAAAGAATAAATTCCAGAGGCAATAATTTTGATTTCAAAATATCAGGATACCATCACTCTCCCATTAAAACAAGCCTGTTTACATGCAAAACTATGGCTTACCAGGACCACATTAATGTGCCTGTTCCTGGAGAGGAGTCTGCAGCTGCTTTGTTTCTTGTTGGTTTTTTGCTGTCTCTAAGATGGGGTGAGCTCCCGTTGCTCGGTCCCTGCTCCTGCCAACCTAGCAGTTTGAAAGCACATCAAAGTGCAAGTAGGTACCGCTCCGGCGGGAAGGTAAACGGCGTTTCCATGTGCTGCTCTGGTTCTCCAGAAACAGCTTAGTCATGCTGGCCACATGACCCGGAAGCTGTACGCTGGCTCCCTTGGCCAATAAAGCGAGATGAGCGCCGCAACCCCAGAGTTGGCCACGACTGGACCTAATGGTCAGGGGTCCCTTTACCTTTAAAAAGCTCATTATGGACGTTTACTTAACATGCCCCCATATATAGTTTCCTTTATGGCTATGGAGGCAATTTCTTCCTTTTTCACGTATAAAAACATGTCTGCTCACATTAATAAGGATAACATGCCAATGATGAATGTCACTTTTGCTATGCTGAAAGCTACTCCCAAAATACTTCCTGGGTATAGCTCATTAATAGGGTTGCAAAAAATACAGGCAAAGACTGAGTCTGGTGGCTGGAACTTAGATTTCTGAAGAGAGGAACATGTTTGCTTCATGAAAATACCCTTCTTTTTACTGTTATCCTCATATGAGGCTCTCACCCATTTTATTTTTCCACAACTAGTTTTGTTCTTAGAGGCAGACCCCTTTTACCCCAGGCCCCTTTTACACTTGTTTCCTTCCCCATTCCTATTCTCCCATTTTAAAACTTTGCCTCTTTCCCCGTTTCCCCCCTTCTCCCGCCCTCCCACAAGCCCACTCATTGAGGCCCACCCCAAACAGTGTAGAGAAGGGGGTAGTCTCTATTTGTGCATAATTCTCTTTATGTAACCACCAAACTTTGGACTACACATGATGTGATTTTAGTACGGTGGTTTTCTATTGGGGTAAAGCCAAAGTTCTACCTCTGCTGCTATGTTTTATTTTTGCAAATTGCTCAACATTGTAGTTAAGCTTAAGGAGTAATGTAATCTAGTATTTTAAAATACTGAAAGTAGATACCAGTGCACACCCACACAAACTTGCACAGCTATGCTTTGTAGATTATTTGCTGAGCCACTGTGGAAAATTCATTTATTGTGTGTATGTATTTTACTTACAAACTCACACAAAGTAGTATGCCATTCATAGGATTATGCTGAAGTATTTAAGCCATGAACATCTATCCTCATCATGAACTCTTGAATGATTCACCGCTTATGTAACTTGTGCATAACTATGAATTATTCTATCCACTGTCCTCTTCAGAAATTCCATAGGGCAAGTTGTTCAGGCAGGCCAGCAACACCAATGTTTATCTCAGGAATAAGCCCTTTCCCTCCTTTCCAAATTAGATGAACTCTGAGGTTCATCTCCATGTTGGCTCTGTGCCTCACAAAGGCAGAACAGGAATTTTGTACCCCAGGGGAATGCCAGATGAGGCTGCAGCATGCCTCCACCCCTCAGATTCTAGTGAATGAGAAGCATTCTGTATGCTGCTTACTGGAGTGATACTGCAGAGCAGCCTTCCCCAACCTAGAGCTCTTTTGGTGCTTTAGATTACAGCCACAATTATTCTTGAGCACCGGCAGCTGATGGGAGCTGGAGTCCAATATATCTAAAGGGCACCGGGGGGGGGGGGCACACTGGTATCCACATAATTCCATGACAACATGGTACAGGCCATCATAAATAAGACTGCTGTAGGACTGAACTTCCATGTTAGTCTCTTGTTTGATGAACATTTTAGTAAATGTCTATGACCTCTAGTATCCACTTCCTGATGGTGGTTTCTCTAAGACACTTCAGAAGGAAGATCACAAGAAGGCATAAGCAATTCAACCCATCATTCATTCCATTATGCTCCTAAGTATTTTTATTTCAATTATTTCACCCCCAATACAAATATTTGCAATGTTTCAGAGAGAAGGGGAGAAATACAAGAGATGGCCCTGTATTTATAATGGTTTGTGTCCAATGTAAGTCTCTTGTTTTTACACTTGTACAATGGGACTCCCCACTTTCACAGTGTGACTCATAAATCTTTCCAGAAGTTGTCCCACCTTCTAGAGCAGATCTGGACAAAGCATGGGGTGTACATTGGGGAAGGAAGTCCTGTTACACAAGTGGAAATCTTCACTGATGACCCAAAGGAGTTGAATACTGCCCTAAATGTTAAATTGCATGGCTGGCACCCACTATGATACCATGGGGCATTATTTTGGGAAGACAAGAACTAGAAAAACATAGTAAAAAGCAGACTGCGTAAACTTATATTGTAGACACTTCTTTCCCACAAAATATCCTGAAAGTGAAACATGCACTCACCTGATGTTTGTGTATTTTGAGATTTGAAAAGGCCAACAACTCCTTTGCCATGAAAGCCACCGGCTCGAAGCAGAAGTGTGCTGGTTTTTGAGTTTTTCCAACAGACCACTGGCAAGCGATTGTGTCTGTAACAGCGAGCTACTCTCTGCAGGCTGCTGTCCTGCACACACTGAGGTACCACTAGTAGCCCTGGATAGCTAAATCAATAAGAAGGGGGAGGAGAGAGAATTAGATGGTTCAGATAAGCCAAGCTGTAGTACCAGGCTACAAGGAAAACAGATGTGATTGAGGAACACTTCTTACTTATTCCAAATGTTTCAGTTAATCAGATACTGTGTGAATTCAAAACCCACCAATCATGTTAGCCAAGTTTGCATTTCTAAATCTAGCTCCAGTTCTACCCACTTGAGCCATCTCCAATGATCCAGAAGAAGAGGGGAATAACAAGATTAAAGCAAAGCATCCAACTTTCCTTTATAATTTATTGATCGCATTGTCAAAATGAATAACTTTCTTTGCTACATCATTTAGGGATATAATTAAAGAACATTATTTTTGAAATGTTTATGACACATTATTTTGTTTCTCAGCATAAAAAGGTCTCTTTTGCCTGCCCCGTCACTAACAGAGGCAAAACCTTCACCTATAAATAGTAATGCCTTCCTTCCCAGTTGTGGTATTCCCTCCTGTGAGGGATCCTTTTTAAAAGGAATTAAAACATTTCTGTCCTATGAGGCTTTTGAGTTGTTTTAATTCCCTTTTTTATATTGACTCTTCCTGGTTTTATGCTTTTTTTTTGTTTGAATTAGAGTGTTGCTTTTATTATTTTACAATGAGGTAGGTCCCTATGGAGCTGAACTGTAAAAATTGGCATATTGAATAGAAATGATAACATCAGAATTTATCAAGTTCTATATTAATTTATTTTTGTATTTACAGCTCACATTTAAAGTACAGTATGATCACATCTTACATAGATTTAACTTGCGTGATTTCAACTATACACAGATGGAAGCAGGCTGGTTGAAACTTCAAGTTAAATCCAAGCAAGGTGGAGAGTTTAAAAGCTCTTCTTGCACCAGGTCTGCCATTTGCCATCCTGTGAAGTCTCACATGAGCATCCCAGAGATGGTGCACTGAGCAGACATTGCACCTCAAACAAGACAGAGAGCTCGTTATGCACTGGATAACCCAATATTGTGGGGTCATCAGAGTTCTTGCACGACCATCCCTAGCCTCTAAGTTTGTGCACTGAGCAGTTTTGGGTTACCCAGTGTGAAAAGAGCTTTTAAGCTCTCTACTTTGCTTGCTGGGCAAGGCCTGCATGGCACACAGGCTCTGGGAGTATGGGGGATTCTCTCTACCCATCACCTGTTAGCCATTGGGTGGAGCCAAGGGTTTGGGTATACATGATTTTCATGTGGTACCTCTGGTTACATACTTAATTCGTTCCAGAGGTCCGTTCTTAACCTGAAACTGTTCTTAACCTGAAGCACCACTTTAGCTAATGGGGCCTCCCACTGCTGCCGCGCTGCTGGAGCACGATTTCTGTTCTCATCCTGAAGCAAAGTTCTTAACCCGAGGTACTATTTCTTGGTTAGCGGAGTCTGTAGCCTGAAGCATATGTAACCTGAAGCGTATGTAACCTGAGGTACCACTTTACAAGGAACTCTTGGAACTGAACCTTGCCCAATATGCAATTGTACTGTACACAAATTAATTCAAATAACTAATATTTTATCCCCAGCACATGAAGTGGTTTACTTATTATTTTCTTCCTTGATCATTTTATCGTTGATGGATACAAACAGTTGATATGGTTTTTGATGAAGCTTGATAGTAAAGCCAAACACAGGGGTTGCCAGGTTTCTGTTTTTCTCTCTCCCTCTTTTCCTGCAAGCTTTGCTGCTATCACCCTGAGCATCTCTGGCTAGCCAGAGCCAAGAAAGACGCCCTTCCAACTTTTGGAGGGCTTGATGGTTTGTATTTGGGTGCCTTAGTCAAGCAGCAGCTGCCAAACAGCCCACAGCCTTCTTCTCAATCTTAAGAGCTGGGCGAGAGGGCAGAGATTACAGCACAACTGCCAGAAAGAAGGCTTTTATCATTCATCATGTTTACCAGAGGAAGGTGGCACACTTGCCAAGGCAAGTGAAAATGAGGAAGCCTGCGGATACTTTCCAACAACATAAATTATTCACAGCACAATCCTTAACATGTTATTATATTACATTTTAAGATCAAGTGTTATTAAATAGTTCCTTTGAAAGCAGTAAGGGGGTCACTACAGCAACACAGAAAGAAACAACATGGTACATTTCATACTTGTCCTAGACTGATTGTTTACAGGCACTTACTTTTTATGAGCAAGAATGTTTAGATGCTCTAATTTAACACACTAAACATTGCCAGTACTTTGGCTCTGACAAGGAACCAACTCTGGCTTGCATCAAAATCCATTTAAACAGCTCTGAATTGATAGTACGCAAACTGCTAGTTATATAATTTATTTAAAAAATAGAGCAAGTTAACAAAGAAAAGCAGCTGCTTCAGATTCTACTCCAACCCTGGCCGAAAGAGAAAAGATTCCAGGGACTCCGGATGTTTTTAAATAAGGTGAATTTGAACATGTGTCTAAAGTCATTTACATAAAAGTTAAGATGATTAAAAATTACATTTCTAATCTATATGAATATTTCCTGGTTTTGAGAAATGCACAGTATGGTCTTGTATGACATTAAGGAAAGTAAAGCTCTTATGTTTCTGAAAAATAAATTCCCAGGGCTGACTGCAAAATTCATTTGACACCCCCCACTTGTAAGAAAAGTGAAGGGAAAATGCACTATAAATTGTAGAATAGCAATTGTTTGATGCAACTTCGTATAACTTTCCTTCTTTGATTCAAATCAGAAAGAGTGCTCAATACTTAAGTCGATGTCATGTAACCTCCCTGCAAGCCTTGTGCAAACAAAATCTATGAATGCTCAATAAACAGCCTGTTTACAGAGACCTGAAAGAACAAAAACAGATCTGTCCAACTTTGGCTACTGATGAACACTGCTAGCCCCTCGAAGCACATGTGGGCTTTAAAGCCTTGTGGATGGGAAATTCTAGGTCTCTAAAAGGCTATCAAAGGGGCTGGGTAGACTCTGGCAACTGCAGAAAGATAGTGGCTTGCTGAATGGTAACACCCCATCCTCCAAACCTTCCCCAACTCTTGAACATATTCCACAATTCTATACAAACTTACAAATGTGTATATGTATTTTAAGGTGAACCAACTATATAGCTTTTCTATACATCAACAGGCAAACCACCTAGAGCAAAGTAGCAATAAATAAAATAAAATAGCAGAATACCATGAAAACACCAAATGATAAACCAAATGCTTTTATTGGCTACCTGCAGGATTGGCACAATTTCTATTTCCTGCAAATTCTGTTTTCTTAGGTGCAGAAGCATATTGCTTCCATCCAGCACAGCTTTTTCAGGAGAATTCAGAATCTGGTCTTGCTAATTGGTGGGGATGAGCCTCTGGCTCATCATTTTGACGATTAAGTCGATCAACTTGAGAGCAATTTAATTGCTACAATAACTGTTCCAGTTCCAGCTGAAGTGTCCAGTGTTTGTGGGATCAGTTTCAGCTTGTGCAGCCTGATGATATGGATGAGGTACTTGCAGGGCTGTGTCCAACTATGTGCCCTCTGGATCGCTGCCCATTGTGACTGGTGACATTCTGCTTGGGGGTCTTGAATTGGTGGGTCAAGGGTGTGCTCAATGCTTCGTTGCATAAAGGTGGAAGTGACTTCCGCCCTAAAGGAGATGATAGTGCAGCCACTACTGAAAAAGCAGGCACTGGATCCAATCAATTGTAACAACTATTACCCAGTTTCAAATATTTCTTGGGGTGGGGGAGGAGGATAATTGAGAGGATTGTGGCAGAACTGCAGACATTATTGAATGAGGCTGATTATCTGGATCCATTCCACTCTGGGTTTAGGCCAGGGTTCAGGCCTGTACTGGTATTCTTCTGGACCAACTCTGTGGATGGGCATAGTAGCACTTTGTTATGGTGGCTCTGTTCCAGAGATTAGCATAGGGTGACTGCTCTTCAGCCTCCTGGTATTTACACTTTGTAGTGCCATGGTACACCATTTTGTCCCCAATACTAATCAGCATCTATATGAAGTCATTAGGAGTTTGCTCCACCTCAAATCACTAAGATTGGGGCTCAGAACCAGATTGTTATCAGGGGAGGTGGGTGTAGTTTGGCCAAAAGCACCTTGAAGGTCAATAGTGAGAAGTCATGGCATGTAAAGTAAGTAAATGCTGTGTTGGGACTATTATTCCATCTAGCTAACTATTGTGTACATGACTGGCAGGATTTCAGACAGGAGTGTTTGCCAGCCCTACCTGGAGATGCCAGGGATTGCAAAGCAAGAGCTACAACCCTTCCCTTCTAGAATGAATAATATTTCACATCAACAAGGCTTTGTAATATTTGTCAAAATGCAATGCCATTTGGAATATTTTTTATGCGTTGTGGTTTTAATAATTACAACAAGAAAGTTGGCTCACCTTCTGCAAAGAGAATACATCCTGTTCAAGGCCGTTATTCGAAAGTACTCTGTTTTTGAGCGAGAAGAGCTATTACTGATAGTTCCCAATCCCAAGCGTTGATAATCTCTAAAACAAGCTCTTTCCACTAGCTGTTCCATAGTTGATTTCTCTGATGCTTTCAAAGTAGCACTAGTGTGCATTTCACTGTCATCTGAAACTAAAGTTGTATTATTTTACTATCTCAATATTTAGTGAAGCAAGTACACTGCAGAGTGTAATACGTTAGCTGAATTCAGATATTTACAGAAAAGCCCCTCTAAAGTTTTCTTACCTGATAGATCATCCTCCTCATTCCACCCAGGACGATTCACTCTTTCTTCCACAATTGTCCCCGTTTTCTTCTTTAGTAGGTACTGTCGGCCAATTGTCATCTTCCCTGCACGTTTTGCTCCTTTTACAATTGTTTTCGAAAGAGTGCTACAATTTAGAAAAGAACCAAAATATCTGTATCGTGGTTGAAAGAGGAAAACTGGACATTATCCCTTCTAGGAACTTCCTCTCCAACAGCCACTAGAGAAATGTGTGGAATATATACAAAGTATAGATGTGATCCCATGCCTTCTAATGAATATTGTACATGAAAGGGTTTTTTGTTGCAGCATGTTCTCAATCTTTGTATTTCACAAATAATCAGAGGCATATTTTCATGATGCAGGTCCCTCTCTCACCAACAGGAAGATTTGGTGAGGTGATTTGGGAGCAAGAAATACAGAAAATCCCACCTTAATGATCATAATTTTCCATATTATAATTATAATTATTATGCAATTTTCATTAGAATTCTCACATATATTGCAGCATCTCCTTTACTAAATCATGCTATAAGCATGATTTTAAAACTTCTTAAATATAACTCCATTGCAGAATCTTTTTTGAAACTAATAATGTAGAACAGTATTTATAAGAAAGAAGCAAACATACAAAAAGGGACCATTCCTTACCGAAAGGAAGTGTTCTTTTCTTTTTGCTTTGGTAAGATTATCTGAGGTGCAGTTTGACCAGCTGCAAAAGCAAAAGTGCTAAAGATGGACTGGGGGTAGCGAAACTTCATTAGCTGTTTCTTAAATATCTCTACAACTTCAGGGCCCACTTCTTCATCAAAAGCTACCTTAATCAGCTATGTATAAAAAAGATGCAATGAATTAAAAATAAAAGGTAAAATAAAATATAAGAAATATAAAATCAAGTTTCTAAAATATTATGAAATATTATTATAAAATAGTATTACTGATTTATGAAGCAATTTATATAAACTTTATGGTTAATTAAATCATTTTTGTAATGCATTGATTACAAATTAGAAAAGACAAAAGAAAATGTATAAGATCAAAGAAAATCATACAGGAGTTTTGACAATAATAGTAATAGGGAAGTTTTTAATGTTGGATATTTTATTCTGTTTTTAATCTGTTGGGAGCCACCCAGAGTGGCTCTGGAAACCCAGCTGGATGGGTGGGGTATAAATAAATTATTATTGTTGTCCAACACACTGTATATATTTATTTAAAAACAATAACACTATGTGGAATGGTATAATTTGAAGGTGTTATTTTGGTTTATCTCATGAATAACAAAGAGAAGAAAATACAAGCATTAAAATGAGGCAGAAGATTTCTATGCTATTTTGCTTGAAATGCAATTAAGATTAATCAGTGTCACATTTACGGTATGTTGAACAGACACAACATTTGGGCAAAATGACAAACTATTTTCCATAATACTGTCCCACTGTTTGCAAGCCTGTCCATCTTCTCTTGAAATGCTTTGGAAATATGGGCAGGGTAAATGCCATCAGAAAGCTGAGACAGAGTGGAGGATAATAGGGTATGTTTGGGGAACCTGGAACAGGACTCTCCCAAATGCTCCTTCCTACAGAAGCTGCTTATGAGACGGGCACTGCATCCCCTGGCCTATTTGCATGTCTTGTAACCAAGGTGCTTCAATACTAAGGGAAGGCAAAAACTGTCATGCTTAAAAGGCCTGGAAATAAATAGGCAATACTGAAAGTGGGCAAACCAGAAGTCAGGTACAGTAACTCTTGACCCCACAGAACTATGGCCCAGGTTTATGGATACATTCCATATATACTTTCACTCTTTGATGGGCATTTTGCTTAAGTTCTCTATTGTACTATGAACAAGGCATGGGCAACCTATTTTTAAATGAAGGTGATGGCACTTTATTAATTTATGAAAATGACATCCAATGTTGCATAAGAAATTGTCCAGATTGTGATCTTGCTAAGAAAACCTACTCTACATTTCTGTCATAAATTTGAGGCAGATGCATTGTGTGACAAAGATTAAAATAGTGTTCTTGGCACATCTGCCTAGTGTACCTAGACCCGGGGTCACCAAACATGGTGCCCTCAGATATCTGCCTTGCACTGGTGCTGTGAGGGGAGTGTGCTTGCTTTTTTTGGATCTGTGTTTTATTTGTTTTTGGGTTTGGGTTTTGTCTGTTGCAGTGGGAGAATTCTGAGCATCACCAGTTTTCTTCTGCAAAATGAATATTTTGTGGTGCCAACATCGGTTGCTTATTTTTCCAGATGTGGCCCTTAAAAGGAATGCTCCTAGGAAAAACTATTATAGTTGTAATGGTTTTCATTTTTTTAAGATGATCTCTCTTTTCAGTTGAATTAATTCATACTCTGCCTTTCTACAGAAGATGTCCAAGGTAGTTAACAATAATAAACCCTTAAAACCTTAGTTATACTAACAGGGCTTAAGTTAACTTAATTGTGCGGGATTTTTTTTAAAGCAACAACAACAACATTTTTATTTATTTTAAAGAACAAACATGGCAACAACAACTTTGGCTGCCTCCATTTTTAAAAATTGTGCTTGATTCTGGCCTTTCTTAGTGGAATGAATTCAGGGACATGATAGTTGATTTATTTTGGAATTGGTGATATTGTGAATATAACATGCAGAAGGAAGTTAAGAGTGTTCCAAAAAAACCAACAAACTATGAACTTTAAGCAGCTTTATTTTACCTGAAACACAGCAGAGGTAATTTGTAGCCCTTCCTGCATGCTTTGTTGAAGCTGGTTCTGGATGGTAATTTTCTTCTCCTTAGTTATTGAGGCAATGGGAACGCTCCGAATAACAGTTTGTTCTCCCACTAAGAATATTAGTCAGAGGAGCACTGCGTCATGGTTCAAGTTATCAGAGCTGTTCACATTTTACATACTCTACTCAATATGTATGATCAGTCTTACACAGATGCAAGAAAGATGCAACAAAGTCAAAGCCATAATCAAAGCTGGAATGTCTATCAAAATATTTAGCTCATTTCATGAAGGACATGCTAAAGAGCCTATCAGTTCCAAAAAAAGGAACATGTACTTCCTCAGTCAGCTTACCAAACTGAATCAATTGATTTATTTTATTAACATTAACATTTTTTTAAAAAAATAAACCAACATGATGCCTTGTAACATCTATTCCTTAAATTACACCAGATTACATTAAAATGTATTATGACAGATATTCAGCATATGTATGTTTACAAGTAAGTAAGTAAGTAAGTAAGTAAGTAAGTAAGTAAGTCCTACTGTGTTTAGTGAAGCTTACACCCAAGAAAAATGTGTTTAGGATTGCTTAATTGAAATTGCTCAATTGCAATTTCAGCAACTTGGCTATCTTCATGAGAAAGATGAATTTAGAAAAGTTGTACATTATGGGATGACAAGCATAGTTCTAGTGGCTGTGGGTCAAAGTTTACAGTTTTGCAACAAAAGGGAAAATTTGTTTTGTGGGGCACTTTTGGTTGTGTGGAAAGAGCCATTTATATAAAAGTGTTAACATGTGGCAACACTTTTATACATGAATTCCAAACATTATAAATGGCATATCCAGTGTATCACTGTCATATCAATTATGCAAAGTCATATTACCCAAGGTAATATTTCTGTGTTAGCGGAGTCTGTAACCTGAAGCATATGTAACCTGAAGTGTATGTAACCCGGGGTACCACTGTAGAATTCTTATCCTCAAAAAGCTACAGTTACAATTTTCACTTAACAAGTAAGATAATTATTAAATAAATAATTGCTACTTTTTCATCGGCCCAATATAGCAGTTTTAAAAATTGTTAACATTATTTGTTCTCATGACATTTTAAAATAGTGTACTTTTATTAATTTCTGCTCTTTTAATAAAGTGAAGGATTATATAGATTCAAATTACTTTCCACTCTGGGAGAAAGAGTTGTTGCAGAAACCAGTTCACTAATTTCTCATTCACTGGCTATATATCTCACACCCATGGCAAACTAGTTACACTAACCACATAAGAACCACAGAACTAGCCAGGAATAAGATAAATGAACTGTAATTCAGAACTTACAACTGCTACAAATGCAAGCAAAAAACACTGATTGACAACTTTCTCAGTTTAAACATGTAACACCAACTTCTTGATCCTGTATATAAGAGCACAAGAAGGGCCTGCTAGATTAGGCCAATGGCCCATCTAGTCCAGCATCTTGATCTCACAGTGGCCAACTAGATGCCTATAGGTCATGAGTGCAACAGCACTCATCCCACTTTTAATTCCCAGGAACTGGTATTCAGAGACTTACTGCCTCCAACAGCAGAGGCAGAACATAACTATTGTGCTAGTAGCCAATGATAATAAAGGTCATGTACTCAATATTTCTGCCTGCACAAGAAGAAGTTTCCATATTATTTGTGCATATCTGCCACCAACCATCCATCCATCCATCCATCCATCCATCCATCCATCCATCCATCCATCCATCCTTTTATTCATGTGAGTCATCCAGGTAATCCTTGAGTAGTTGCTCTTGTCTTTTTAACATGTTTCTCCTACTCAGAGTAGATCCTTTAAAATCATGAACATGATTAATTTAGGTCCATTAGTTTCAATGGGTCTCCTCTGAGTATAATGTAGATAGCTCTAACCTATCACCAGGACCTTCACATGTCATGCTATACCATAGTTTAGCATAAAACCTCTCCTCCTCCTAGAGGGGAGGTGTTGTGAGCGGGAGCCGTTCCCGCGTCAGCAGGAGGGCGTACTTGGCCCCCTGCATCACTCACCCAGCTGCCGTGCCCACCAGGCCAGCCAATAGGGTTGGCTTGGGGGCGAGGTCTAGCTGCATTCAAGCGGCCGCAGCAGCCCCGCGCCTCATTCTGCTTCCCTGGAGTCGTCGGATCACCCGCCCGCCCGCCCTCCCTCCCTTTAGGTCATATTTATGCTTTGACCTTGCTATGGACTTTGGTTGGTTGCCCTGGGGGCCTGCTAGGAGTTTTTATCCATTTGGCAAATTGGCACCAGCCTCTTGGTTTTTCGCCTACCTCATAGCAAATCGCCACAACTTTTTTGGTATTGGCAGTTAGGCACTGGGATATGTGTTGTGCGTTGGTGGGTGGGGTTTGGCCATCACCTACCCCCGCCCCTCGTTGGGTATTCCATTAAAGGAATCCAGCGGTCGTGGATCCTGTCCAATGCCCTGCCGGTGGCTAGGGCAATGGCACGACCCCCAGTGACATCAGGGGAAGCTTCTAGTTGTATTTGCATCAACAAGCTCCTGCCACTGTTTGTTAACCTCCAAAGACCCCTGCAAATATAGGTTATTTGACCCAATACCTAAGCCAATACCACTCACTTGCTGTAACCAATAAAAGTTCCGGCCTACTTTAGCCCATTAACCTAAAATACATGTGTCCTTGTGTCTCATTTTATCACTACGTGGGTGGAGGGTCCTCGACTCACAATGTGCATAAGCTGAAATGAGCCCAAGCAAGCCTTTGGCTCCTGGCAGGAGACCTCAGCAGCATTTACTTTGCTTGCACTTAATCTCAGATTGTTACTGCTTGTGAACAAAGGATAGTTGTTTATAACAAACTAAAAAGTCTGATCCATAGCCCAAAGTTTGAAGTTGGCTTGTTTTGAAATTGACTTGTGTTTGCTATAAATGATAATCTCTGGTTCAAATGCTATGAAAACCTGAGAAATGCTGCCAAATTCCATTTCTAGGTGTAAGGGAGGAGGAGAGGACTAGGTGGTCTGCATTAGCCCAGATAACACAGATTATGCATGCTGTACTGAACCCTGCTCTACCTTGACATGCAATCTAGGCCACAGTATGAGCATGAGAATGAAGGATATGACTACATCACTTTCAAGACCAGAAATGCATAATTAACAGTTGAGGACATGGAAATTGCTTCTGACCAATCTCCTGGATCACATTTTTTGTTTGTCCATATAAGCACATCCATGCATCCATCCATCCATCCATCTGCCTATGATCCACATATATGTCTTTATGTCTGTGCTCCAGACAGTTCAAGAAAACTTTTTTATGAAGCCTACCACATTACAGTCCTATCCATGCATTCAAAGGAAAAGAGGACTTAAACTGAGAAGCAGGCTTGTGCATGTTGCCTCCAAGTTCCCTCCATATGCCTAGTGTCCCCACTCCACTCTAAGTCTTTCCAAGTTCAGCGGGAGGGTTTGAAGGGGGCTTCTAAGTGCATTCAACAGATAATACAAGGTTCCCAATCATAGGAAGGCTTGTAAATGTGTCCAGCTGAATGTGCCTAAATGCCCCCTTTAGACCTATTCAATGTGATAAAGTTGGGATGCAGTGAGTGCATCTGACACGTATGTTCTCCCCAGTTTAAGCCCTTACATGTTATTTTGAACACATGAATAAGGCTTATGAGAACAATTATAATAATTTGTTATTTAATTAGGTATGCAGATTACAGAAATTCATACCGATCAGAAGGTTGAATTATAGATACTGATCCTATTCTGGCACATTTGTTTTAAGCAACTTAAATGGACTGCGGGTTAGCTTCAAGTGTGTTCTGAAGTAAAAATTTATTTTAACATTCATAAAGAAGACCATACCTAGTTGATCATGAGGTGTGCCTTTAAATATAACTCTGTACGTAGTAAGGAACAAAGCTCCTTCTGCAGGGAGAATGTGAGGGCCTCCAAGCAATCCTCCAGTTGCCTCCTCTCGGCCATCAGGATCCAGAAGCACACGGAGACCTTCACACACAAACTCTTCCCCTGGTAGCAAAGCTGGTCGTAGAATCTTGGGCTGAGCCCAAAGACAAGATTTATATATATATATATATATATATACACAAATTGTGTTACACATAGTACACTACAGGTGTCAAACTAAAAAGGATTGAGCTGGAATTACAGCTATAGTTTGTAAAAGACAGGTTATTGTAAAAATGGGTGTATTTTGTAGGAAAGGGATTTAACAAAGAGCCCTAGTCCAACACTCTAACCACTATACCACACTAACAATCACATTGTTTGCATTCATAGAAGGGATAAGGTGTGCCAGCTGGGCAGATAGTCACTTATCAGGTCTCCCTAGGGCTTTCCTGCACTCTTTCAGATCTCTCATCACCATTCATGGTCAGAAACATCCCTCTGCCCCTGTGCTTACTGGGCAGAATGGATTTCAACTAGGATAAGAGTAAGAACTGAGTAAAATAAGTTCCGTCTTTTTAGAAAAGTGGCAAAGATGCAAGGCTCTGAAGGGTTGGAGCAGGAGTGGGGAATCTCTGGTTCTCTAGATGTTGTTGGACTCCCAACGTTGCCTACTGAGCATAGCCAATGGTCGGGGGGTGGGGGATGGGAGTTGTAGTTCAGCAACGCAGGAGGGTCACAGGTTCCCAGTGTCTGGGTTAGAGTTTTTGCCTCTTCAGTCCAAAAGGGAAAGCATTATTTGCTTAGATGCTGTTTGACTGGAAAAGGGAGTGGGTTGATAAAGAATAGGTCTTAAATCAACAATGGACATGCAACAGCAGCTTATTTTGATTCAGAGGTTTGGCTGATACTTTTTCTCTAGTTCATATTTCACAAAACTATAGCCAAGCTGCTTATTTGTTGAATTTTTCATATTTTTCAGCATCCTTTTAAATGTTCCAAATATCTCCTCAATTATATTAGAAAAAAACCCCCACAGAAAACTGAGCAAACTTGCCATATATCTAAAATGTAAATAGTGTAAACAAAGTCCAAAATACTTGCCTTCTCAATTGGTGGCAACCTTCTACTTTCTCGATGAACAGCCTCCAGAGTCTCAATGTGCATTGCTACAATTCCTGGGAGCAAACACCACCGCAAATGAGCAAAACATAGCAAGAAGAAAACAAACTAAAATAATTCCACCCTTCTAAAAACTGCTTTCAGAAAGCCCAGAATAGGGCTCTCACATGACTATGTAGACACCGACAGACTAAAATTAGAAGTGCAAACCCATATTGTCAACTGAAAATAACACACACAAAGAAGCTCTTTTCAAAAATATCTTTTCTCAGACAGTGCAAAATACATCCCTCTCAAAATATTTCAAGACTTCAGCATAGCTCTTCATACCTGGTATCATACAATGAAGACTCCTGATGTGATCCTGTGTAACTCCACTTTCTGTACAAACCTTGTCTATGAACCTAGTAATGAAGCGTATGACAGCATTGGCAATGTCATTGTTCTCAGAATCCTCAAACCCACTTTCAGTATCATAACTCTCAGCAACGCTGCCTGCAATGCTAAAAAAGCATTTCTAATCAGTTAAATCTACATTGGAGCAAAATAAACATCACTCTATTTGAAAATAATGTGGTTGTCCTGATTACACACCTATTTGTGACAATGCTATTGCTTCCACTCTCCCAGTCGCCCGTTGCTGAAGTTCTTAGGAGTTTGTTTTTACTGGTGTCCAGTGGCACCAGCAGGTATACCATGAGGTTAGCAAAATGAATTGCCTGGCTGAAAACCATACTTTCTTCACTTTGTACTAGTTGCTGTTGAGTCTCTTTACTAAGTGTTGGCCACAGACGCATCTGCTCAGCAGCTAAGTCCATGGCAGTCTTTTCTTGGGCCTGGGCATCAGAATTCTTCTCCTAGGGGAGAAAATGGTTAGACAGTAGAATATTATACTGTGGCTTTAAATTATTTTCGTTCTTTTGGAATGGGGACAAAGGCTGCCTATAAACTATATATGAGACCATATAACACTGGTCTTGAAAGACCTACACTGGCTCCCAGTACGTTTCCGAGCACAATTCAAAGTGTTGGTGCTGACCTTTAAAGCCCCAAACGGGCTCGGTCTAGTATACCTGAAGGAGCGTCTCCACCTCCATCGTTCTGCCCGGACATTGAGGTCCAGCGCCGAGGGCCTTCTGGCGGTTCCCTCGCTGTGAGAAGCCAAGTTACGGGGAAGCAGGCAGAGGGCCTTCTTGGTAGTGGCGCCCACCCTGTAGAACGCCCTCCCACCAGATGTCAAAGAAAAAAATAACTACCAAACTTTTAGAAGACATCTAAAGGCAGCCCTGTTTAGGGAAGCTTTTAATGTTTAACAGGTTATTGTATTTTAGTGTTTTGTTGGAAGCCGCCCAGAGTGGCTGGGGGGACCCAGCCAGATGGGCGGGGTATAAATAAATATATTATTATTATTATTATTATTATTATTATTATTATTATTATTATTATTATTGGAAGAGAACCTTTGCTGAAGAACCAAACATAGGAAAAAACACTGTGCAAAGAATAACAATTAATGAACCACAATGCAGGATTTGGTACTGAAGTTGCAGTTTTCTTGCTCATGGGAAATTACCGTATTTTTCGCACCATAGGACGCAGTTTTTCCGTCTTAAAAACTAAGGGGAAAAGTCTGTGCGTCCTATGGTGCGAATGCAGGGGGGGAGGCAAGCAAGAAAAGCCCGCAAGAGCCACACACAAGCTTCGCACGGCTCTTGCGGGCTTTTCCCCAGGAGGGAGAAGGGACTGACGCGGCCAGTCAGTCCCTTCTCCCTCTTCTAGAAAAGCCTTGCGCAATTTGCGCAGTCGTGGGAGGATACGCAAGGCTAAAGAGGAAGCCCGGGCAGCGAGCGCGATCCATCCCGCTCGCTGCCCGGGCTTCCTCTTTAGCAGTGCGCGCCTCTCCATCCGCGGGAGGCTGAGCAAGGCTAAAGAGGAAGCCCAGGCAGTGAGCACGATCCATCCCGCTCGCTGCCCGGGCTTCCTCTTTAGCAGTGCGCCGCCTCCCACGTGCGCAAGGCTAAAGAGGAAGCCCGGGCAGTGAGCGCGATCCATCCCGCTCACTGCCTGGGCTTCCTCTTTAGCAGTGCGCGCCTCTCCAGCCGCGGGAGGATACGCAAGGCTAAAAAGGAAGCCCGGGCAGCGAGCGCGATCCATCCTGCTCGCTGCCCGGGCTTCCTCTTTAGCAGTCCGCCGCCTCCCACGCGCGCAAGGCTAAAGAGGAAGCCCGGGCAGTGAGCGCGATCCATCCCGCTCGCTGCCCGGGCTTCCTCTTTAGCAGTGTGCGCCTCTCCAGCCGCGGGAGGATACGCAAGGCTAAAGAGGAAGCCCGGGCAGCGAGCGCGATCCATCCCGCTCGCTGCCCAGGCTTCCTCTTTAGCAGTGCGCTGCCTCCCGCGTGCACAAGGCTAAAGAGGAAGCCCGGGCAGCAAGCGCGATCCATCCCGCTCGTTGCCCGGCCTTCCTCTTTTGCCTAGCACACCTCTCCAGCCGCGGGAGGCTGCACAAGGCTAAAGAAGCCAACTTTTTAAAAATCTCTCTATCTCTACCTCTTTTTCTTTTTTCGTCCTTTCTCCACCCCCTTATTTTCCTCTGGATCAGTGTTTTTATCTAGATTAACGTTTTAGTTTGGAGGGTGGGAATATTATAAAAAAGGAAACTTTGCAGCTTTTATTTTAGTATACAATAAAAACAGATTAAACAAAACACAAGAGAAGGAACTAGCATAGAAGAAGAAGAGAAAAGGGAAAGAGGGAGGATACAAAGCCATTTACCAGAGGTAGATCTTAACCCTTGCCTCACCTGGGAGCTTCTCTGGGCAGGAATTCCCTCGGCTTAAGTGGGGTGAGGGAAGAGTGGCAGGTAGGGGGGTACCTACCTAGACAATGAAGCCACACGTCTCTCCAATGAAAATTGGGAGTGGACATTGTGTGAAGTGGCTGTGGATCTCCTGCCACAAAAGTGTAGGACTGTATAGAGTTGGGAGGGCCACCGGTCATCTAGCCCAGCCCCCTCACAATGTAGGAATCACAGCTAAAGAATGCCAGGCAGATGGTCCCCCAACCGCTGCTTAAAAGCCTCCAGTGGTGGAGACCCCCAACAACTTCCGAGGTCACAGAATTGCAGGGTTGGAAGGGAACCCCAGGAGTCATCTAGTCCAGCCCCGGTGGACAGCGGGCACGATCCATCCCGTTGTGCAAGGCTAAAGATGCTGCTCAAGGCTAAAGAGGAAGCCCGCAGCCTGTCCGTTGCTCTTTGGGGCTGGGGAGGGGGATAATATTTTTTTCCTTGATTTCCCCCTCTAAAAACTAGGTGCGTCCTGTGGTCCGGTGCGTCCAATAGAGCGAAAAATACGGTATGCCTCTACACCACCCACGTCCTGCCTCCAAGTTGTGCTACTGCATACTAAGCGACAGCAGAACATTACAGAAAGGCTTCTCTACTGGTTGATGTCTCAAGATGCACTTTGCTTTTTGCATCCACATTGCTCAGGGGTGGGGCAAGACCTGGATCTGCCTGCAAAAAAACATTCAATTTCCAAATGTCGTGCCCATCTTATCCTTTACTTTCCATTGCATCTGAAATTAGATCCTTGTGCAAGCCCAGGGCCATGGCTGGTCTTAAAATTTAAATAACCATTTCTGACATACCTACAGAATCCATAGAAAAAGGAAAGCACAACATGGAGCGATACTGAAGGCAAGTCTAATTCACTTATAGCCCTTTCAACACAGCATCAATTTAATCTGCTTGTTGGTGGGTTTAATTGTTTTTGTTTGTTTCCTCATTGCAGTTTTACAAGCTAATATATACATTAGGATTTCATTCTGCTTGCAAACTCTTGGCTCGTTCTCACAGTGAATATGAATTGGCTCAAGAACTAACTGCCTGGCATTCAACTAACTGCCTGGCACAGATGATGCTGTCCAATCTTCTGTAGTGCTTGAGTCAGTGAGCCACATGTAGCTATAAATAGCTTATAGCACTGAAAAAGTTACATGTTTTCACATGCCAGATTTCAAATCTAACAGTCGTTCTCTGTAAACGAAGTGGATGGCACGTAGACACAACATATTGTAGCCTAAAGAAATTGGGGCAAAGGTGACTGGCAACTGTTTTCACATAACCTCATTTTTTAAAGGAAAAGCAGCAGGAACCTACAATTGTATGATCAGCCTTTTAGACTTCTGAAGAATATGAGGAAAAGCTTCAAGTGTGCGTATGTGCTACAACTGCTTCTCTTTCCCAATTCTGCTACCACTGTTCTCTGTTGCTTCACTATAGTACAGTTAATATTGGTAGCAACTTTCCTGTTCATGGCTTTTCCTTCATGTTTGATAGTCCCTATAGTATTTAGAGGAACATTACTGACACGCTAAGATGGCAGAGTGCCTTCTTCTATTACTTTGTCTAGAATTGCCAAGGTCCTGGCATTTTACTGGTTTTGCCATACTGGAAAGATGCAACCTGTTCCTTTTATAACAGGACAATTAGGACATGCCTATACTTTATTTACTTATTTCATTTATGTACTAACTTTTTCTTCCAAGGAGCTCAAGGTCGTGTGCATGGTTCTCCTCCCTGTTTCATCCTCACAACAACCCTGGGAGGTAGACTAGGCTAAGAGATAGTGACTGGCCCAAGATCATCCAGTAATCTTCATAGCTGTGTAGGGATTGAAACCCTTGTCTCACAGGTCATAGTCCAACACTCTAACCATTACGCCACACTGGTCCAGATGTAGCTCAATATCCATCCCAGCTTAAATCATTATAACACCCACCCACCCTGAATAATCCCTGTAATATCTGAAGTACAGTTGGAATAATATTATTGACACCAGCTATCATGCCTAATCTGCATATCTTTGTTTAAAGATGACCCTGTAGTCACACAAGCAGAAAGTATATTTCCAGAGTCATGCAGCTTCATATTTTTGATCTGTTTTTTCAAATACCACAACACTGTTTATGAGCCCCCAAAAGGGAGGAAAAGGTTAGAAAATGAAAGGAGAGAAAGAGAGCAACATAACACAGAATGATGGCACATTGTACAAAGCACGAAATGGGAGCCAGTTTATGCTGCAGCACTGAAATGCCTTTTCAGCTCTGCACTGGACATAAGACTTCAAAGCAAGTCAACGAAAGGGAGAAGGAAAACTTACTTTATCTGTGGCTGAAGTAACTGTAAAAGCCACAAGCAAAGGGCTGATTTTCATATTAATTTTCTACATATGTGCTCTTAAGAAGCATGTAATGAAGTGGCTGGAAAGAGTGTGCTTTTTTTTTTTTTTTTTGTAACTTGAGAGCAATCCAGTACACATCTTGCATGTGTTCAGTTGTGAAGCTTCTTGGTAAGTCTGACAAGTAGTCAATGTACGGTGGTGCAATGGGTCAGTGCGTCTGGATGTTAACAAGAAGATCTGTGGCTTAAGCCCACCCCAGGGATGGCGGTGGGCAAGATTCCTGCGTTGCAGAGAGTTGGACTAGATGACCCCTGGGGTCCCTTCCAACTCTACAACTCTATAAGCATGTATTGGATATCATACATGTTCACACAAGCTTGTCACTAACTCTTTCACTACCATCCACTTCTCATGCCCCCCCCCAATAACTATTGCTTTCCCCTCTGCTAGCCATGGTCACAGAACCATGTGGACAAGTGGTCTTTCTCCCCAACCACTATGCCTGCACATCTTGATGAAAATTTTACATTTTTACCCCACATTAACCAGATTGATGCTTATACCTCTCAAGGTCTTAAATTTGGAAAGACCTCTGGTAAGGGAAAATCTTTGGCTTGTGCTCGGGACAAGAATTTTTATTTTTCATGAATGCTGTGTGCCTCTGAAGGAACTTTTAGATGCTCCTGGTACAAAATCTATAGTATTACAATGCCAATACAATTATACTGCAAGATATAATGGTCCAGAACAAAAGTTGTTGTGGAATTAGATAAGACATGACAGCTGAATTAGCCTTTGGGTTCCAATACAAAGTAAGCTCCAAGATTTGTGCAGCTAAACTCATACACAGTTATTCATTACTGCTATTAGGGGAAAGAGTTATTTTGGAAATTATGTTTATGCACCAGGGTGGAAAATCTGCATTTTAGGTTTCCTTTGGCACCAATATTCACAACATCTACTATCCATTTCTGATGGAGGCGGGGGGACATTCTTAAGGGAAGGGTAAAGTTTTGTCTGGGAATGCTGTCTGATTTGAAGCAGAAGGAACAGAGTGCTGCCAAAGCTAGAAAAACATGTAGTAATGCATGTTAGGACTGTGAGCATATTAAGATAATATACTCATCTATTCTAAAGGAAAGCAAACTTTTTTTTGTGAGTATTAATGAATTATCCTGGATAGTTGTGTTGCTTTATATATAAAACATCTTAAATCTTGTCCACACTATTAACAAGTTATTTACAACTAGTACCTTAAGATTTAAGAAGTAATTCCAGTATTTAGGAACACACCCCTTGCCTGGCATATTAATTCAAGAAGGCCCAACAAACTATACAATATCAAACATTTTCTTTAACTAAATGCCAACTGACTTCAACACAGATTTAGTTTAGCTTATTTCTTTGCTCATTAAAATTTCTATATTATTGTTTTACTTACTTTCTGCTTTAAGTGTTGTGGATTATTGTCTTCCTTAGCTGAAAGATAGAGTGAACGAATTTGATTTTCCACATCACTGTAAAAGTTTGTTTCCCAGAACTGCTGGTTAGCCCATATTGGATGATCTTGAACACAGGTGTAAACAAACTGACTGACTCCAGGAGCTAGTTTCTGAAAGCACAACGATGAGTCATCAGATTAATTTTCAAGAGTAGGAACAACAATGTATTCAACTGTTGTGGCAATAAAAATCATTAATGAAACAGACAACTAATCCTAATGATGTATGTGTACATATAATAATCATGAATATATTCTCTCCTATACATTCATGTTGAGTAAACTAGTGGGCAACTCAATAATAATTCTGTTTATTTGAAGACAAAATCTTACAGAATGCTCATTCTTGAGTATGAATGTTGCAGCAAGACACATAGAGGTACAAGATCCAAAAGTGAGAACAATGGGATAGTGGAATATGTAAGCTTGGTTTGCTCTATTTTCACCTGATTGAACTCCAAAATTTGCACTGAAATTTGTGTGTAGAGAGTAGCTTTTCAAAGAATCTGAAGCAGGTCTACAAGGTACATATAGTAGTATTTTCAATTACACAGTGCTTATTTTTTAATCTTTTCAAAGGTCCTGCAAATAATGCAGAGATGGCTCTGTACCCCCCGCCCCATTTAATGTACTTGTTGAAACTTCAGACACTCCACCTACATTGCAGCATTGCATTCCTTCCATATTTATATTACAAAATGAGGATTAGCTTTTAGGGTCACTGAAATCAGATGCACTGCATATTTTGATCTGTTGTTCAATCATATACAAAGTCATACGCCATTACAATCCATCCCAAAACAATCCTAAGTTCCAAATTATTCCAGACGTTTCCCTGATTTCTATTTCTATTCAGTCTTTCTGAATTAGCTTACAGGTGTTTCATTAGAACTGTTATTCAGTGCAACCAAACAGCAGCCAGCAGATGGCAATAGATTTCTGCGGAAACTACATGCCATTTCTCTGTAAAGGCAGCCTAATAAAATAGTGGCGCTGACTGTCTCAACAACTGAAAGATCAGTGATGAACTCTGCCTAACAGATCTGCCTGTAAAAAATAAATCTTACATACACAAAAATATCAATAATATGCCATGTGACTACATTGTTTTCCTTGAAATGATATCCATGCTTCCCCATTAGTCCTGTACTCCCCTGATCTTACCTCTGCTAGCCTACAACAAAACCTAAATGTACTCCTCTCAGCTAGCTTCTTGGTGTGGTTCCATATAAGGGCATAAGAGACAATAAATTGAATTTCAGTCCTGATCAGACAGGGATTATGCTGACAAGTGGCCTATCTGACTTGGGAGATAATATGGGAGTTCGCTTAGTTGGTAGAGCATGAGGCTCTTAATCTTAAGGGTGTGGGTTTGAGCCCCACTTTGGGAAAAAAGGTTCCTGCATTGCAGGGGGTTGGACTAGATTACCCTTGTGGTCCCTTCCAGCTCTACAACTGTATATGTATGTGATTCTATACAGCCTTTTATTCTGGATGGGGTTGCAGTTTGATAGTGCTTTTAGATCTCTAGAAGCCCAAGTAGCATTACTGGCACAAAATACCTACCCTCAATTTAGGCTGGTACAGTATGGCCTCTCCTAGACCAAGAAAATCCAGCCTCACTTACATACACTCTGGCAACATTGTCTATGGATGGTTACAGTGTGTTGTACATTGGGCTGTCCTTTAAGATGGCACAGAAACTACTGTTAGTTCAGAATATGGCTACTAACTGCAACTGGGAATTTGGAAGACATCTCACTGATCTTGAAATGGCTTCACTAATTTCTGGGTCCAATAGGAAATGTTGGTTTTAACTTTCAGAGCCTGAATGACAGCACCAGAATAACTCAATGACTGCCCCCCCCCCATAAACCTGCCTTTCATGAGAGGCTGTTGTGTTCTGTGACACAGACTTTTCTGTTGTGGCATCTTACCTTTGGAACTCATTTCCCAGGTACAGTCAATAACAACAACAACTCCTTTTGACGTTTTAAGTAAAACAAGAAAGAATTACTCTAAGATGAATTGGAAACACTGGAAATAATAAGGGGCCTGGTAGAAGCGCAATTTCATAAAAGAATTATGGGAAAAGATTATAAATTTAAAAACAAAGATATTGGGGTATTAAATTCCACATGATTTATTAATAAATTATATGGTTGACTTAATAAAGAAAGAACACACTGAGATGTTCTTCCTATATGGCAGCTGCCACTAGAAAATGTCATGCAATGAATTGAAGATCTCAGGGGACATCTAATATTAATGAATGGATAGATAAAACTTGGGAATTTAACTTAATGTCTAAGTTGACATTTTCTGAGGTCAAAGGAAACAACAAAGATGAAATACTTTTGTAGCAAAGGGATTCTGTTTCTTAACTACAGTCAAAATAACCTTCCAAATATACGGTATGGTTTTGAGATGCTATGAATTTTAAAGTACTAGTAGTTCTTGGGGGTTTTTTTGCAGGCCCAGCTCCAGCAAGCCTAAGATTGCTGGGATGGGGCACAGGAGGCAATAACTACATGACAACATTTTGGGATCGAAAATGGCCACAACTTTATTGATTTACAGATGCCAGTAGGCTTTGGCAATAGGCATTGGGTATGTATCCAAAATCAACCAACCTGACATCATCAGGGTCAATACTGGGTTAAGGGACCCCATATGACACACATCGAGGACACCATTAAGGGAGTTCTATGGTCTGTTAGCCCCTGCCTGAACACATAGTCAGAATTCTTCCCCTTGGACCCATTTACCGGGGTACCCTGATACTTTGATGGGGGGGGGTTAGACTCCTTTCCACACCATCTGATTAGACTAAGGATCTGGCCCAATGCATTTTTCCATCAACGTTGTGACAATTTCTGTGAGGTAAGTAAAACCTCCAAACCAGCCCAATTAGGCAAATTCCTTCCTGGCCCCCAATAAAGCCATCAAGCAATTCCACGGCATTCATATACACGGCCCCCTTGCCCCCACATACAGGTTTAAATGGTTTGAGGATAGACCTGAGCAAAGACAGGCTCAACCCAGGTCCACTCCCCAAAGTCCCCCTGCAGTATGGCCATGATTGGCCAATTTAAATTTGAACAGCAGAAAAGTCCTATCATTCTCTGTGGCCCGCTGGGGCTGATGACACAGCCCAGCTGTGCAGGGACTTTTTGCCCCCAACCAACTTGCCCACAGCCACACCAGACCACAATTGCTGCTGCTCCTGAGCAGCATGGTAAGCAGTTTCTTCCTCTTCTTTATCAGTTTCATGTTATCTGTTTAACTTACTTTATTAGTATTGCAGTTTATGACTGTTGTGTGTTCTTCTTTTGGGGTTAGAAAGAATATTTATTGAGATGGTATTGTTTCTAGTTTTGCAAACTGCAAATTGATAAACAATAGTGCAATCCAGGCCTGCTCACACCAGACTGTCAGGAGTTTGGACAGAGCCAAGGTATTTCTGCACCCAGTTTTGCTGGCTGGGTGCCATTGACAGAGAAATACATCACTGTGTCAGTGCTGACTTTCCCCTTCTGCCCACCAGTGGAGCCCAGTGGAAAGCAAAAGACTCAAAATTCCAAGGCAGGGGATGGGATGGGGCTGCCCTGGAATCTGCTGGATCTTCAGACAGTCTCACAGCAACTGCAGGCCAGCATCAGGCCTGATTTAGGTTTGACTGCTGCATCAGTCTAGAGCTGGTGCAGGGATCAGGCCCAATCGTCCTGCCGCTGCTACTCTCTGGTTGCTGGGCGGTGCTGTGCCGTGGATGCAATGGTGGTTCTGCTGCTCTGCAAAGCTCCACCAGTGTGTGAATAGATGTTAATTGCACCCCACATGCTTACTGCAGCAGTTCAGGATTCTGGTGCTGGTACTGGCAATCTAAGAAGCACAAAAAAATTATTCACACAATGATTCAATAACGGACTCCCTGAAATGGTGGCTAGATAGATGAGGAAGGAGCAGTCAGTGAGCTTATCCAGACTCATCCTCAGAGAGAACAACTATTAATCTGCAATTACCAGTTGTAGGGAGTTCCTACAATATCCTGTACACTTCTTTAAATCACAGGACACTGTGAACTCTCCCTCTTCTGCAATAGAATGTACACCCAGCGAGTTTATACAAAAAGGGATAAGGGAACAAGGTTATTCCTACATCTGTTGGAATGGACAGGATCTTATCTGATTGTTGCTGGAGTAAGTCTTCTGGAAATAACCTACAATAAAAAATGAATTTGTGACACACCATGATAGAAAAACTTATAGAGATGTAGAACCAGGAGCATGGCCATCTCGTGTGACTTGTTTTGAAGGGCACTGCAATCACAATTTAGGATGTGTATATGTGCATTGGTGTATACATAAGAAAATGCAGTTTACAGCTCTTTTATTTAGGATATGTACATTTGTATCATGACTGGGCACAAGAAATCCTGATCAAATATAAAAGAGTGTGCTCTCTCTCTCTGCAAAGTAATTTATTGGGGCATGATCCTGCCAAAGAACCTTTAAATCTCATAGGCTTCAGAAGGGAGAGATTTTAAGTATATGTCTAAGACTCCCACTGATACCCTTTGGGTTTTAAAGTGCTCTACTTGGATAAATCATGCTCAGTATTTTCAAACTGCACTTCTGAATGTGCAGCCTTAGTACAGTCTTAACAATGAATGTGCAGATTTCTCCAGGGTAATGCAAGGTGCAAATATTTAATTTCCAGTTCCAAGATCACAATCACATTCTATACACTTACAAAAATAATGTAAAGGTCATTTTTGCCAAGATCATTTTTGTGCCAAGTTGTAAAACCCCAACAGGGAGCATCCTAGATGCTGTGACATATGTTCATAACAATTATTGTGTGAAAGGCGCCACTATAATGTGTATCCAAGAATGTTCCTTTGTGTGCCAATTTCAACATGATTAAAATGGGTAAAATATTGATACTGAAGACTACCTGTGGCCCTACATCTATATGCAAAGCATTATGATAAGCAAAATAACTCTTAGCTAAAATAGTGGTCACAAGAACATTCAAATTTTAAGGTTGCTTTTTGGTTCAGGCGCCATACTAAGTGTATTCAGAAGCTCAGGGTAAACACAAACAGCACTGCTATCCACATGATTATGGCACATGAGATTGAACACCCAATAAGACTTATGTTTCTTGAAAAAATGGCCTAAGAAAAAAAACATATGAAAATAATCATTATTCCATTAGTATGTTCATTTCATGGAAAAGGCTTTGAAAGTACGCAAATGAGGTAGGGCCCTAGTGATACAGCTTATTGGCGAAAACCATTTCCTCAGAAATAATGTACACAAATCAAAAACCAAACGCCTTGTCTGGGGAATAGGTAGGAAAGCATGGGTGGAGGAGGGCATAGAAATATAAACAATGTCTCAGACTATGAATTATTCTGCTAATCCCAAGGGCTAGATTTACAAAATATCTGACCAGTGTTTAAATTTTTAACCTTAAATTGAATACTGATTAGAACGTTTTTTAGAGAGGAGATCATAGACCAGTGAGAAATCAAACAACTGTCATGTAATTCTTTTTGCGGGGGTGGGGGAAAGCGGCGGGGAAGGGAATAATTATATATAAAACTTTTAGCTGAGTTAATCAAGCAAAGTGAATCAATGATCTAAAAGAGGTCAGTTACATAATCTAATTGCACATTGTAATTTCTCAATGAAACGTCTAATATTTTTCCTTAGATTTTATTATATCTGTGCAGTTAAAGTTAGGCATTCCTAAGGAGGCCATCCTAAACTTGTTTACATAAATTCCACTGAATTCACTGGTATGTATTTCTGATCAATTCTTGTTATGGCAGCTCATCTCTTTCCTTCAAAGAGCACAAACTCCATAGCACAGACATAGTGAGGCTGCGTATACAGCATACATTTAAAGCACATTCTTCCCCAACCATCTAAAGAATCCTGAGAATTGTAGTTTACCCCCCACAGCAACAGTTCTCAGCACCCTTAGCAAACTACAATACCCAGTATTCGGGGGGGGGGTAGTTCTTCAAAATATACAATGAGTACGCAGCCGGAAGATCATTTTTCACTTTTCTGTGAAAGCTCAGTGGTTTACAGCACAGCGCCACCCGCATCCCTTATCGGGCTATCTAGGGTAATGTTTTGGCCAGGAGCCATCTCAGGCTGCGGATCCAATTCTTAAGAGGTAGTATAAGAACTTCTAAGACCAGCTATTCTATTAGATAAAAGCATCTCTGTCTCAGCTTTAAGCATTAACCCACAACCAGTTCATTACTGAAGTGAACCTTTGTTTAGGTATTCCATTTTCTTTCTAGAACTAAATGGAAAGGAGAGGAAATGGTATCATCAGCATAATGTGAATGCCACACCACATCCCAAATCTCTAGACATCCTTACACAAGAGCTCATATATATGTTATGTAGAACTGGAAACAAAATGTGCTGGATCCCTAAGTCTAAGCCAATTTGAGCAACAGCTTCCCAGTACCACCATCTAAAATCTGCTTTCCAGGAAGAACTAGAGTCATTATAAAACAGTGCATACAAGCCACATCCTGGGCAGGTGATTTAGATGAATATTAAGGTCAATTACACTGAAAGTAACTCATAGCGCAAAAAGAATCAGGAGGGACCATCTTCCCCAGGTCAGTTCCCATGGAAGATCATGCACAAGGGCAAGCAATGTTATCTCAGTCTACAGGGTGGAAACTAGAAATTTGAAAAAAGGGAAAAGGCAATCTATAGGCAGAAGTATTGCTAGGAGAAAATATGTACATAAATTTATCATGCACTGTTTTGCTACGACATTCCTTTAACAACTAACACTGGAAAATTAACATAATAGGCCGTCTTCCATCAAAAGGAAGGGAAACATTGTATCTTGTACAATTACGTGTTATTTATATTTTAAACAAATTCCAATTGTATTACTAATGGTAAACAGAAACACTGTTTTCTGCCCCCAAGGCTAAAGTTGTTTGCTTGCACAGGACATTACTACACACAGTGAAGAGTGCTCTTCCTGACTTAGATGAATCACACTCTTTTGATTTCTTAGGTCTAGTAATTTAAAATTGAACTAGAGTGAAGTTATAGTGGTGTTTGTATGAATTTTTCTTCCAGGCCACAAGTATGCATCTATTGTACTGACTTGTTGTCCATGAATTTAATGCTGACGGCTATGAGCTTGTGGATTTCTTCAGTCACATCCTGCCCTGTCAGGTTTTGTAAGAGTCTAGTCACTGGGTATTAACTACTGGAATTATACTGGACATCACATGAGGCACAATATATTGTAAACAGAAATTCTTTTTCGTTATTTTAATTACACATGTGCAATGCCCCTAGACTAAACGTCTTGGAAGCCACAGGCTTCATGAAAACTTTAAGAAGCAATTGCCAGATCACATAGCTAGCCTTCCACCAAAGCAGATTTTCTGATTACTATGAAGCATTTTGCACTAATATTAATATTTTAAAGACACAGAATTCACAGCATTCCTACCTGACAACCATGCTAACTTGACTTAGTAAACGTTTTGAGTGAAAACTCACTGGTTTACTGAGTTAGATTAGAAGAAGCTGCTTCCATTTTGAAAGTTTGGTACACATGCATCCAATCTACACAGTATTTAATTTTCAAAGTTTATTGTGAGCATCTGTACCTATAAAAAGAATTTCTTCATAGATTAAATGAAAATACTGTTGCACTCGGGTCCTGCTTAAAAGGGCTTACCATAGGCATTTTACAGGTAACTGTGAGAACAGAATGCTGGACTAGATAGGCTCTTCTTAAGTTCTTAGCAAACTACTAAGGAGCTGGAATGAGGGAAGGATAATATCTGGTAATAGAGCCAGACAGTAGAAAGACTAGGTCCTATTTACATGTAATGGAAAGCCATGGTCAGAAACATACAATGGTTTACCACAAATGAGCAGTATGCTGGTACACACTGTGCAAATCACTGCACTGCTGCTACCTTTTCCGTGCCAGCTGTGATCCCAAGAAAATCCCCACCCCAGATTTAGGGGGAAAACCTCCTTAGTAAAAATTTTCCACTGGGATAGCAGGCAGGGAAAGGGTTAAACATCTCAATGCGCTCCATGCTGATGAAAATCATCCTTTTAACTGTAACATAAACCAACCCACTATGCATTTGGGGTTATGTCTAAATATGACCATGAATTGAATGAATTCTGAGTAAGACAACCAAATCTCTGACAAGCTTGGTTCTTTAAACTAGTGTGTTTGCAAAGTGTGGTATGCGGATGGGGGTACATGAAATGGCTTCAAAGGGTATTATTAAAACTAAATTCTCACAAGAAGGGATCTCAATTAATATAGAGGTATACAAGCACTTATTATCAAATTTCCAGAAAACCACAACTTACCCTATAAAAAGCAGTTGTTAGTGGCAGCAGTGCTGCAGCAATGTTGTACTCTTCTGACGTTGAACAATCCTTCAAGTTGAAACAAAAAGAGGAAGTTAGCAAGTTATTCTAATCAGCTTGCATTTTCAACTGTAATTATGAGGATTACCCACAGAGAGCTTTGAAGACCAGAAAGAACCCTACTCAATCATGATAGAAGCAAATATAGCCTCCTGGTAGTTCTTTAAAAAACCAAACAAACCTGAAACAATCTGGAAAGCAGAAAAAACTTCCATCTGAGATGTCTATTTACAGCTAACCAATCCTTTTGGTGCCTATATTATAATAAAGCCTCTTTACACCCCAGATTGCATCAGTGTAGTCAGGTATAGTGTGGTCAGTATATTTGTGTCAGTGCACCAGGTAGCTCAGTTGGTTTAGAGTATGGTGCTGATAATGCCAAGGTTGTGGGCCACCTGCATATTCCTGCATTGCAGGTTAGACTAGATGACCCACAGGGTTCCTTCCAACTCTACAGTTCTATGATTCTTTGATCTTTGTGCCTGTGTTGGGAAGTATCTGAGTTCAGAGAAGGCACCTTAGGGAACACCCATGTCATTTAGACAGCAAGAGACCATTTAAAAAAATAGTCTATTTGTGTAACTTGGGGATACCAGGCTGTGCCACCCCATACTGATCAGATTTCATCAAGCAGAATGAATGAGGGAACTGTAGAGCTCTGGATTATAGGTTGCAAAAGAAAAAGTAAGGCACCCTGGATTGTCATAAATTGTCAGACAAATCTAAGAAGGACATCTAAAATCCAGGATTCACAAACATACTTCTTGCAATGATTTCTTCCCCACTCATCTGCAATCCCAGAGACTAGATACAAGCATTAGCCATAGGCTGTTTAACAACAATTGCCACCATTGTGATGGTTGGGGGCAGGGGAAACACTTCCTATCTGGAGCTAAAAGTCCATGACACTGTGCTCTCTATAGCATGGTCTATAGCTGTTGTGATGGCTCCAACCAGCAGTGTTTCAATGGTTTCCCCGGCCTCCAGTAATGTTTGAGATTTTCTTCCTCTTGAGCTGCATTAGCACTACTGCAGAGTTCTAGATTCTGTACGTACTTTCCTTACGCTTCTGACAATTCATTCAGTGCATTTAGATTTTGTATGCATTTTAGTTTAATTTAGTTTCCACATGACATCAGTACATTAAAATAAATGACAAAAACCACACAAGCAACAATGTAAAGAGCACTGGAAAGCTAAATTTAGAATATTTGTTCGGATTGTAACCATTTGATTTCAATCTCCGTAAACATTTCAAAAAGTTAACTGAGCTGCCAAGAATGCAACTCAGGTTTTTCCAAAGTGAGTATAAATCAAGCAATTGCAAACCAAATTAAAATCAACCCACAATTGTAATAAAAAGAAGCAGACGGTTCTTCATGCATTTTAGGGTTTAAATATGTATGCGTATATTTATTCTTGCCCTTAATAATTTATACTACTATTTTCTTAGCAGCAATTAATCTACTTGGAAAGTTAATACTGGAACCTGAAAGGACCAAGAGGCGTCAGGAGTGATGAGAACAAGGAAATAAAAGGGATTTTTAAAAAAATAATAGAGCAAGAGGAAAAAGAAAGTTTATGCTAGAAAAGGTTTAATATTCAGTATGCTTAAGTTATGGTATCAGTGAGACATCCAAGAAGGTGGGGTGAGTGGGAGCACAGTCAACTATATATTCAAGGCTGATTGTGACCTCTTTCTCTTGCTCATCAAGTTGGCCTCTACATGCCTGAGTGACTGCCACCTGGTTATGCTGCACTGTTGCCTCTTAAAATTTGTCCTGTTAAGGCATCTGAAGGCAGTCCTGTTTAGGGAAGTTTTTAATGTTTTATGTTTTATCAAGTTTTGACTATTGTGCTAGGAGCTGCCCAGAGCAGCTGGGGAAACCCAGTCAGATGGGCGGGGTATTATTCTTATTCTTATTCTTTCCGAGTACAAACCATGGAGGGGGTGGGCAGAGAGATTGGACAAATCAGAGAGCAGGAGAGATGAGACAGATTAGTTGCTCCTTTGTTTCTCTTTTGCTGCAGCCATTTTAGGAAAAAACCATGGCAGTGGAGGGAATTAGAAATGGTACCAAAGGAAATAATGAAAATTGTCAGGTGAGTGTTCTCATAACAAGCTAACAAACAATTTCTTAGGAACTTGATTTTTTGCTCCATAAGCAGCACCTGTGTGTATAGTTGTTCTACATTTACTAAAGTGAATCATTATTTTTCCCATTAAAACATTATCTGATGTCTTTCCTACTAATTTCTCAGGGTTTCCCCCAGTCAACCAAAAACTAGGTTCTATTCTGAAAATGATTATTAAAGGTGCATGAAGGGATATACTGTGCTACAGCTGCATGTCCAGCTGTCACACTACCATAAAATCATACTAGTTGCTCCTTCAAACAATCTCCCCCAAAACTTGACAAGCCAAACCAAAAAGCTAGGTCTGATTTATTCATGTTTATCGGATTTGTTATTAAGCTTGGAACGTACAATGGTGTTATTAAAGGCTGACTAGTCCATAGATTATCCTGTTTCTGGTGCATTCCCCAGCACAAAAATGGTTCAGCAGGAGCCAGGCATTCATAGGTTTGAGTGAATTCAAGATGGAGGCGGGGGGGAACGAGGGTTGAATGCAATTTTTCACTAGTCAGACTTGGAGACAATTAGTTCTACTGCAACCCAAAACAAATTTTACCTAGATTTACCCTCAATAGTATTGTTAAGTTTTGGCAATACAAAACATCTGTCTTGAGCAGCTCTACAGTACTTTAAAACTAACAGCGGTCAAAATCAGTGATGACACTGAGTAAGATTCATTGTTCCTTCATTCTTCTCTTACAATAGAAAAAAAGCTCAACCGTCACAGAAGAGTGATTTCCTACATTTCACATCAGTATTGTCACTTATTGTAACAAAAAACTATTAAACCTAAGGGCTCATGTTCTTCACTTCCCCCCCTTAAGACAATGATAAAATACAAGAATGACAGCCCCTATGTTTCTGCACATCTGAGTTTCTTTAGCAAAAATGCCATGCATGTTTCTGAAAACTGTCATGAGGCCCATAGCAATAAAGTTCAGCATACTCAGGCTGTAATCTTCTCCCAAGGAAATGGTTGGGATGCCAAGATGCCTTTTGACTTTTATTTCACAGCAGGACTTCATTCGCTGCAACTCTGTCCAAACCTTAAACTACAACATCTGTGATATACTGGCCCACAACAGAATTTGTAGAACTATTCTACAAATAGTTTTTAAATTAAGCAGTGGGATGCTTTATAACACATGACAAACTAGGAAGACAAAAACGCTGAGCATTACTGCTGCTCCAGAGGATAGGAACCAAATCAATGGATTCAAATTACAAGAAAGGGGATTCCGAATAAGCATTAGGAAGAACTGTCTGATGGTGAGAGCTGTCCTGACAATGGAACGGACTACCTTAGAAGATGGTGGACTGGAAAAACACATTTCCTCCAAGATTAGGAATAGAGCAAGAAGATGGTATATGCATGATATGCAGCAAGTGTGTTTCCACAGGGGGCTCATCGCTAACACTACGGACACATCTTCAATTCTCCTTAAGTGGTGTGATATTTCCCTTTTACCTGAAACGGTAGGATATTTCTCCCTCATCCAGGTCTTGTTCAAGAACTGGATTCTTTCTTTTTTAAAGAAGTTGATGTCTGCAGAAGCAGCAAAAGGACTCTGAAACTTTCATTCCAGATGAAATGAAAATTTAGGAAAATGAAAATAAGAGTGATAGGCAGCTGAAAAATGTCTGTTGTAGAAGACCTAAACATAGCATTCTGTGCTGTTAGGAGGAAAACTAAGCAGATGTTAAATGGTGTGTTTTTTTATTAAACTAACGTGCCTATATGAAAGGTACTGTATAGAACACAAAACCTGACCTTTAATTGTCTACAAGTCACACATTTCAAATGAATTTATTTCCATATCAGCATGGTAGATGGCACCTGGAAGTTTTCATTAACTTATATGATAGTTAGACATATGAAACTCATTAACCTGCTCAATCCGACTCCACATTAGTAGAACAATATATATATGTTTTCATTTTATCTGATCTCCCTTCCATCAAAACATACTCAGGATCCATTATTTTCCCATACATTCCTTGTTGGGTTAATATTTTGAAAGTGTGCAAGCCTACAATATAAACCTAAAGTGATTTAATTGCCATAGTTTCCTTCTCTACGTTGTACTTTTGAAAGGAATCTAGGAATGTTTAAGAATTACCAGCTACTGTTCCCAGGAATCCCAAGGGAAAGCCAAGACAGTTAAAAAGATATCCTACTTAGCAGTGCTATTTTGCAAGTATGATAATGCTACAATGGAGTACAGTACATAATGAAATATAATTATTTATTTTATAAAATTTATATGCTGCTTGATTATAGAAAAAACCTCAAACCTAAACAGATGACACCAGACACAGTAGGATTGGGGGCATGTGGGTTATGGCTTTCATAATCAATGATTTGCAATATACAGTGGTACCTCGCAAGACGAATGCCTCGCAAGACAAAAAACTCGCTAGACGAAAGGGTTTTTTGTTTTTTGAGCTGCTTCGCAAGACGATTTTCCCTATGGGCTTGCTTCGCAAGACGGAAACGTCTTGCAAGTTTGTTTCCTTTTTCTTAATACCGTTAATACAGTTGCGACTTGACTTCGAGGAGCAACTCCTTTCCTCCCTAACAGAGTAGCCTTTTTTGAGGTTTTTAAAGACTTTGGTGATTTTTGAAGCTTTTCCAAAATTTTCCCGACACCGTGCTTCGCAAGACGAAAAAAATCGCAAGACGACAAAACTCGCGGAACGAATTAATTTCGTCTTGCAAGGCACCACTGTACTGCAGGCTTCAGTTACTTTAGATCGTATTCCAGTTGATCAAAACCACGTGGTGCAAATGCCTTCAGAATCTCACTCTCACCCTGATATGCAAGGTATAGAAAAACAGAGTGCATCTGCTTTGACTATCCTTCACTGGTTCC